TATCAAGTTCCTGCGCATCATCCATCGATCCTTTCTGCGCTTCCATCGTCGGTTTTTGTTCCATTTTTCCTAACTAATCGGGCGGGTTTCACAGTTGATATGTTAACCCAGCTATCTTCAATGGTCGACAATGGTTTAAGTTTTCATTCGATCGAGGATATTGTGTGTAATCAATATGAGCAATATTACTGGCGTCTTAGGTTACGGTACGAGCAAGACAGCTCAACATTAAAACTTAGTGAAAACGTTATCCAGAGGCAGAGTTTTCCGCCATTTGATCAAAAGGCGTTTCCATTCCCACACGAAAAAATAATTAGATCAGTGTTTGTATCGTATTCTTTGTTGTTCGATCAGCTCTTTTACGACGACATGGCTTGTCGTACATCTAGATGGCTTGCATGCGATCACACGTTTAAAAGTGCAGGCAACATTGGCTTCACTAGAGAGAGCGACGGACGCTGGATAAAGTTGATGAAATGTGTATTTATTGTTTTGGACAATAACGGTAAAATTATTCATTGGAGATTTACTAAAGGAGAATCATTCAATGAAGTAAGTGGCATTTTTAGAGAACTTAAGGACAGGTTTGAACGATTAAATACTGATTTAGAAGGTATTGTCATTGATAATTGCTGTAAATGGAGAAGTCAATTTCAGTCCCAATTCTTTCCAAACATTTTGGTAAAATTAGATCTTTTTCACGCTGTACAGCGATTTGTAACCACTTTACCTATGGCAATAAGATTAAATACAGATATATGCAAAGGGTACGGATTAATTTTTCGCCAATCAAATGATCTTGGAATCAAAAGATTACAACCAACTCCCGATAAAGAAACATTAATTGCAAATCTTGAAAGTTTCCAAAGATGGTGGAAATCTAAGACGTGGAAGGGAGAATATATTTTGAATCAAGCGGCAAAAAAAGCTATCTGCAATATAAAGTTGCATATTGTGAAAGGCTGCCTTAGTGGAATCCCTGTTAATGTATCAACATCGCGAAATGAACGACTTCACAGAAATATGAACAATGTTCTAAAGATAAATAAAATTGGACTGGAGACCGCATACGTAAGATGCTCCAGGCTTTTTTTCAAAATTAATAACCAAGGAAATAATTCAATTAAAAAACTTATGGCTTGTTCAAAAGATCCACCGGACTTTTCCAAACGAGTGGAAAATTTCGGTTTTGAAACTTTTAGACAGATTGGTGGTGAGTTAGAAGCTATTATACCAGAAAAAAATGTTATGATTTACAAGTCGTTAGATGAGTTGAGCGAAGAAGTAATTTGTAATATCAGAAACGCTATCTCATCATCACTGCAAACAAGTGATGATATTCAAGATGAACACACATACGCCAAAAACAAAGGTAGAGATAATAATATGGCAATGGCCATTGCTGATTCAGCTATTATTTTTTATGAATTATATAAAGGTTTGGAACACATTGGAGGAACGCGTTTACTTTTGAAAACTAATCTTGCACATCTAATTGGTCTTGAATATGGAAATACCTTTAATGCACTAAGAAACATGCGCTCACATTTTGCCACTGCGGCAACTACAGATGGTACAAAGGCGGTACTCACAGGACATCTTCAATTTTTTGGACTTGAAGAGGTGGAGGTTCCAGGTGATGGGAACTGCTTCTTTACCGCTGTTGCATTTCACCTTTCAACTGTATTGAACAAAGGAGCTTACAAAGTAATCGCTGATCATCTTAGGGACATTGGTTTGTTACCGACAATGTCTGTGCAAGAATTATCGACAAGATTGAGGAATCTAATCGTCCAAGAATGGAGAGGTGATTTCGCTTCTGATTATGCGAGTTTTTTGCCAGATAATGTGGACTACTTATCTGAAGTCGAACATTACGAAAGGCCTGGTTTTTTTGGAGGTAATCTCGGTGATCTTATGCCAATGGCAATGGCAAATGTATTGGGAATTCCACTCGGAATAATAACATCGGAACCCAGCACTCCTATAATTAACGTATGTCCACGTGGGTTTGTCATGACCGCAACACCAATTTTCTTGGCATATACGTCGTCAGGACCAGGTCACTATAACGCAGTTTCGCCCATAGTACCTTTGCATCCTTCAGGTATTGTTGTTTCCCAGTATGTGCATGTGAATACGCGGAATGTGAACTTGCTATTAATCGGGTAGGGTCACATCTAATTGTAATAATAATAATCATTATCTACCAATTAATTTACTGCAATTCATTTTATCATACCCATATTAACAGTTACTATATTACTACATTATTAATATAATTACCGTTTTAGGCACTGTCGACACAACAGAGTCGCGTAATGTAGTGGACTGTAAAGAAAATTTTAAATCATCAACACCTGGACGTAAAGGTATGTAGAATTTCTGTGGCTTGTCCGATAATACTCAATAAGCCAAAAATCGATGAGATTTCAGCGGCATTCCGGCACGGCGGTGGGCGTTAAATCTTGTTCGTATTTTTTGTAAAATTTCGTAAGTCATGAAGTGTGCCCGACGTTCGCCGATATTGCATTTGGGATTCTTTTGATATATCATCGGAAAAGACTTTTGAACTGTCTGTATAAGAAATGACAAGTATCCTGGGAAATTTCTCTTTCTTTTTCTTTCCTGTTAAAGAAATATATCATGGGAAATCCCATTGTCCCCTTATAGCGCGCTAATATTTAGTACAACAGAAGCTTAATAGAAAACGGTTCTCCACTAGACGATTTTTATGACTATTGTCTAAAAAATTCGCAACAAACATGCGCAGTAAGAAATAAATGATAGTAAAAAAACTCTCAAGGGCTCGACATTGCGCACATTGCTGCTAAAGATAGAGTAATGAATAGGGACAATTCCTTGTAACAGAATTAAGTGCTTCATGATTTGTAATGTATTTGTAAACAATGCATGCACATAAATCAGTATGCATTAACCTTGTTTCAAGTCGCAGCCATTTTATTGTTAAGTTCTAAATTTACTGAAAAACAGTATTAGAAAGCAAGATACTCCGGCTTCAGCGCGCCGGCTAGAGCGCCTGACTGGCTGACAACAAGTCAGTGCAGTTTCAAGTAGTCCTTTTCGGTAATTACGTCACAACTACATGGAAGGGAGGCTAAGGGGCCAAGATATAATATTTTTATATTACATAAGCGATTCCTGGCCCCACAGCGTCGCTTCCATGTAGTTGTGACGTAATTACCAAAAAGGTCTATTGTACGCCCTTGTATAAAAATAGGGAGTTTACGATTTACTACGCGGCCAGCTCGACGACGCGCTGGCAAAACAAAGAAACACATCATGCAAGACAAAAGGGGTGAACAATTTGTAATCTCATCAGCTTTGATCAACAGCATTGCTATTCTCGGGGCGCGCTCAAACGAGTAATTTTCACGTGAAACGTCATAAGGAGTTTACTGAGTTTGAAAACGATGAATCTAAATTGCTTTTAACAGGTTGTAGGTGTGGACAAACGACACAAGCGCAGAAAAATAGAAAAGCAAAGCCGTTAAAGAAATATAAAAGTTATAAGCGATGCAACTGCATGATTAAATTTAAATCTTGTTGCGACAGATGCAAGTGCGTTGGTAAATGTGGTGGATGTACTTGCAAGACAAGAGTCGTCAAAGTTAGAAGGAAAACCAAATCTTCGCCTCGTGTTAAGCACATTTTACAGACGCAAAAAAATATATTACCTAGTGGATCTACACCTGAAGAAAATACTACAAATTTCTTGGAAGTCTGTGTTTTGTGTTCTATTATCAACTTTTTTCGATCTGGTTATTTCACATTATGGGATGCTGAAACGGTTTACAGTTTATACATTGGTGTCATAGAAGGCTTATTTAACTTAAATATTGTTTTACCACTGAGAAAATGGCAAAAAGAGTTCATCTGGAAAAAGGTTTTAAAACTCAAAAAGGACTTTGAAATTTGACGGTTTTGAGATTTGCGCCGTATAAAAGTAAGCATTTAAAAATAAGAATAGGTTAAATTGGTCTTAATTTTGAGTGGAAATTGATACACGCCAGGGACAGTTGAAAAGAATTCATCAACTATTGGCCGTCCGGCAGAAATTAGCCATTTCCCAATCGAGCAGGGGATTGGGTCTAGTCGCGAACCGCAAAGCATCTATGGACTGTTTGGAGGAACAGGAAATATAAGTCTGAAATCATTTGTCCCTCCAAACAGTCCATGGATGCTTTGCGGTTCCCGACTAAACACAGTACCCTGCTCGATTGGGAAATGGCTAATTGAACCTACGCCTTTTCGATGTTTGTGAAATGCTCTGACCACCAAGCCAAAGGCCTTGTTTATACACGGTAAAGAACAAATTTGCGTGTAAACAGGCGAAAATGAACGAATTTCAGACCTAAATTCGTCCGGTAACGTTTAAACAAGGCTTAAGATCAAGTTGACATAATGTGTCATTTCCACTAATGGGCTTAGCATATAGTTTATATTCACATTAATTAATTTATTTATGTCCCACAATGTTGATGTTAAAACTCAAGTACTTTATTGATTATTGTTTTTTATATCAAGACATATGCTAACATTGACATATTGTTAAGATTGCATGAAGCAACTTATAATGAAGTATGTAATATCTCGTCGCTATTTGCGTTCAGCATTTAACACTCTAATTATGTTCGCCCATATATGCCAACCAAATTTCAACACAAAAACATATTAAATAATGTTTAACAACTTTGCCAGATCACGTAGTCCACAAGTACTACAGCAACACCATGCAGTTAACACTCCGGCTCCATCGATGTAATTAACCTTATTTACCATTTCGTGTACGTTTATCTAAAAATATGGTTTGGGTCAGTATTCTCAATTTGTGAGTTGTGATAAATGTGAGGAGTAAATTAGAACGTGCATATAATATACCTTTGAGTCCACTGTGCAATTTATCGAACAAACCATCTGCCATTCTCCGTTTTCTTTTACCACCTTTGCTGTCTTTGCTTTTAAGGTTTTGAACGTCATTTTCAACTGTTTTTTGTGTATTTGCCAAGGCACCCTTGTCAAAGATGGTTTGTACATTTGTCAAGACACTGTCGTTGTCAAGAATGGTTTGTGTATTTGTCAAAACACTGTCGTTGTCAAGAATGGTTTCTACATTTGTCAAGACACTGTCGTTGTCAAGAATGGTTTCTACATTTGTCAAAACACTGTCGTTGTCAAGAATGGTTTGTGTATTTGGCAAGACACTGTCGTTGTCAAGAATAGTTTCTGCATTTGTCAAAACACTGTCGTTGTCAAAAATAGTTTCTACATTTGTCAAGACACTGTCGTTGTCAAGAATGGTTTGTGTATTTGTCAAAACACTGTCGTTGTCAAGAATAGTTTCTACATTTGCAAGACACTGTCGTTGTCAAGAATAGTTCGTGTATTTGTCAAAACACTGTCGTTGTCAAGAATAGTTTCTACATTTGTCAAAACACTGTCGTTGTCAAGAATGGTTTGTGCATTTGGCAAGACACTGTCGTTGTCAAGAATGGTTTCTACATTTGTCAAGACACTGTCGTTGTCAAGAATGGTTTGTGTATTTGGCAAGACACTGTCGTTGTCAAGAATGGTTTCTACATTTGTCAAAACACTGTCGTTGTCAAGAATGGTTTGCACTTTTGTCCCACTTTTATCATTCCTCTTCCCAAGTTCTGTGAATAAAATACAAAAGTTAAATTAAAAGCGTATACTGAACAATAGGCAGGTCTCCTAAAAAGTACTCAGTCAGTAAAACTATTACGTTCAAATAAATTTAATCAAATAAAGGAGATGCTATATATATAACCGAAAATAGTAGCTACGTAATATTAATTACTCGGGCTACTGTGGTCTAGGTCTAGCCGAGTCTAGGTTTCGCGATTATTATTTTTTTTTCGTGTCGCAGGCTTAGTCATCCGCGCGGACAGTCGCGTACTTACAGTGTATCAATATAGCTCAGTTTCAGTGCAGTGTATTTACCGGCTACACAGCCCGAGTTAACGCCTACCGGGCGTCTTGTTAATTAATTAAACGCCTGTTCAACAGTTCTACAGGCAAATGTCATCGTATTAATTAATTAATTGACGCCTTTTGTATTCTTACTTTCATCCAAAACAGAGAGGTCATTTGGATCAAACCAGATCCTCTGTATATGTGCCGCGTTACATTGCTTGGGCCTCCGTCGGAATCGTACTTGCACCCCAACGCAACCAATATCTCTCGATTTTATGAAACGACGAACTGAATTTTCAGTTACTGATGACAATAACTGATCGCCAGTTACTGACGCTTTTTTTCTCAGGAACTCCACCACATCTTTAACGTGGAACACCACCGACTTTCCGCATGTGCATTTTGAAGGATTATGGTCATTATCAATAAAACGCATCACCTTTGCAAATTTAAGGAAATTATATCAGATTATTTCAATTATGGTTGTTATAGACCATAGTCAAAGTGACTGAACAATATCAACAGAGTGGGCCAAAATGATAGTTTTAAGTAGGTTTATAACACATCGAAAATCAAGTGGGCATATAATTATCATATTTGTATACTTCACGCAAGGATACAGGGGCCGGTTGTTCAAAAGCCGGTTAACGCTAACCCAGGGTTATAGTGTTTATTTGCATAATTTAGGCTACTAAAACCAGATTAATGCTTTGCCGGTATATTCTGGCTTTCCGACCATGAGTAAGAGGCTGGCGAAACATTCTGGTCTTAACAACCTTATTTTAAATGACTGTATATTATCTAGTTTATTTTTATTTTTTCTTGGTAACGCTCATAGTTTCTACTATGGATTTATATGGCTTAAAATGTAAGCGCGCGTGTGAAATTAAAATAATATGCAACTAAAAAGTAAAAGAAGCAAGAAAACATACGTAATTTGGATCCTCTTTGGCCGCTAAAGGGAGCAAGTGATCATGTAGAAGTTTATGAATTACATTTGCATTATTCTGACACTTCTCATTCGATGTGGGCTGCTGTTCTGATTCTCTTAATGTGTAGCCTGGCAAAATAACTTCTTTCATTGTCTCCCATACCAAGACATAATCGTCAGCTAGATCAACTTTTTCCAAAATCTGCATAGAAATAATGATATATAATAGCGAACTTAAACAAAGCTTAACCTACTACAGGAACATAAAGAACAATTGAGAATTTGAGAATTTCAACAAACAGGACAAGGGTATAACTAGAAAAGCTTATAATACCAGACTATATATAATAGAAAAAATAAATCCGGAAATTATAGTAACTAAAATATTAGACGTCGTTGTAGCTCTGTTTTCCAACGGCAAAATACAGATTATCACGTCTTTTATACCTACAGTATATGAAATTTAGGCAACTGCTATTTTAAACTGGATCCTATAGAACGTTTTCAATCAAACCCTGCGTTTACGGCTGTATTATTCAGTTTCATACGATAGATACTGGAGATAAAATAAACATGCACATACATAGTCCGCATTTTCACTGACATGCATACACTGACACTGTGACAGTCTAATTTATGAGGCTATATTTAATCCGTACATATTTCAGTATTACATACTACATACTATATTTACCTTTTTGGCAGAGAAAAGCAGAAGTCCCATCATAAGTTTGACTCTATCATCAATTTGCATGCCCTTTTTTTCTATTTCTTCCTCTAGCTCTTCCAAAATAGTGAAGTAAGTGTCGTTTTCTGTGCATTCTTCGAGATTGTTATGCATACAGGTAGTGACAACGCAAATGCTTTTGTGCGCTTCATTCATAGCTGCTTTAACATTCATCTCAGCTAAGACTTTATCCTTTCCAGTTAGCCTTGGCGAAAGTGCTTTAAATTCAATTCGCAACCACCGAGAATTAATCCTATATGAATGATAGCTATACGTTTAGATCAGTCATGTACGTAAAATTTTAGCGTTAACTTCGTGGTTAATTTCAAGTACTTCAAAAATAATAGTAAAACCCACCTTATAGTGAAACCCACCTAACTGACATATAATGAAGAATCTTATAACTATTTTGGCATTAACCCGAAGGATCGTGTATACTCTCACATATACGCAGTATTATAGTGATTATACTGTATGAACACACATACTTTTTTTCCGATGTGTCAAGGTTCGTGGAGACCACGGGAACAGTATGCGGCTGCAAGGTGTTCTTCATTGTGGAACTTCCACACTACAGAGTGCATTATAATAGTAGACAAGTTAATTAAAGACGGCTTGCAAAAGCCTGGTTTCAGTATGATCGTTACGATCGCTGTATAAATATGTTCACTGGGACGGCTAAAAGTAAAAATTTTCTATATAATCGTATAACAATCGTGATCGCTGCGATAAAAAACTGGGCTGGACTTCGATTTCACAAGACTTCGTGCGGAGTGTAAAGGGCTACTGTGAGTGTAGGGTGATGTGAGTATGAATAATAAAGTTGCTGTTTTGCTATTTTGGGTGGGTCAATATGATTACCAGACAATTACATACAAACATGCGTGAAATTGCAAACCTATACCAAGTTACTATAAGACTGTAATTTTTTGCATCTTTTCATTATCGTTTTAAGACGCTTAATTAATTGTTCACGCGGTCCGAGTTAAAGTTTTTTCAATATATTAAATTAGATTTAATTTCTGCTGCAAATTGATTGCTACTGCTTTTGCATTGTTTGCTGTCATTTCTGCGCAAAACCAAAAACAGTCAAAAGCGTTATACGTGTGCACGGTCTAATTGTCATCCAATCAATTTCCAACACGTACGCTGATTGGCTGCTCGAAACACAATTTCATTTTCAATCCTGGAGCTTTGGTAATGGTTATGCGTAACGCATAAATATGTGGTCAATATAATACTTACGCCATTAAAAGAATTGACTGAAACATTTTTTAGGACCTTCATATCGGACGCATCATCCCAACCAAATGGAATAGTTGTGTTGCTTTGTCGATTTTCTATATATCTGCTGCTGGATTCTGAAAAAAATAAAGCTTGTTAACAAGTTCAATATACTTACTTGGTCACAAAAGTTTGTTAGTAGTACGATAACAAATTTATATAAAAGCGAACTGAATACAACCTTGGCAATGATGCATCATAAACGTTTTGTATTATAAGCTACTTTAAGCCACGCAACCTAACTCACGGATTACAGGCATATTTACCCTTGAAAAACCTGATAAGATTGTTAACTTAGGTCTAACCCCTGTAGAGTTTTTAAAGATCTTGGCTTGCGATATTGAGTTATATTTTGCTTACATGGCTTAATTGTTTTGTCTACGTTCATAGCAATTAGTTATTATAGCTGCTAAAGCCCCGTTTACACTACAGTCTATTTATCGGCACGGCACGGCTAAAATGGGCACGCGTACCTTTAAATCGGGTGTAGTGTAAACGGGGCTTAAAGCCTATAACATATGGTGTTTAGGAGTCTATACTGAGGTGCATATATTTTATTAATTCTTTGTTAATTTCAAGAAATTTGAGATGCTCGATCATGTTTCAACGTTCGGCACGGCAATTTTCATTCGGTTTGGCTATAGTGTATAACACAGGAATTTAGGGAGTAGTTCATCAAAAGGCAAATAGTGATCATTATCTCAAATAATGATCAAACCCGAAAAACTGAAGTCACATGAAGCACTATAAGAACAAAATAAACGCACTTTATTTAATTATTTTGTAAGCAGACAAACATTTTAAGTTTAAAAAAAAATTTGGGTGAATCGTTAACTTGAAATAGATGCAACATTTGGATAATCGTCACAACTCAAGGTCCATGCAAGATTGTATCTAAAGTATAGCATGCATTTATTTGGCCATATGAGTAAAACCACTAACCACACGTAAATTTTCGTATGCCAAATATACTCATTACAGCTTTCAAGGCGGTAGTCTTTCCCGATACTGATGGTCCCATGAGCACTGGAATGGCACATCCATCAAATTTTTTTAATATAAGATCATAATTACACGCCATGCTACTGCCAGCATGGGCCAACACAACTTGGGGATAGTTGTTTTGAAACAACGCCTTCTCCGTGACCAAAAGTCGTTTAAATGCTGCTCCATCATCTAAATCTAAACATAATTATAAAACTCTTTACCTTCTAGCGATTGAAACTAATATTAATGCTCAGGTGCAATTAATGATAATTTACTGAGTTTCAAAATCAACGTTCTTCATTGCAAATTTAAATACTTTCGAGTTTTGGAGGAAAATAATTCAGTGTAATTTTTATAAATTATCTTTTTAAAGAAGCTATAGTAATTCTTTAGTACTTATTACTTTTAACGATAACACTATTTATTAAAGTTATACGGAGAAGATAGCTGCGAAGATTATCCATAACTGTCTATTGTATACCGGTAATAAACCCTGATGACTAATTCTTTACTGAATGGATAAAAAAAGAAGGCATATGAAGGTACATGTATTTATTACCACTGCTAATATTTCGTAAATATGGCAAGCTACTTGCTTCCATCGAAACATATGCTCTTTCGTCTTGCGGGATAAGCCTTCCATTCTTGTCGACATGCACATGTGGATTAAAAACCCATACATCATCAGTTTTTTGTTTTCCAACAATCTGTATAAAATATAGCATGAACACTGAGGGCGGCATTTAATGATATTTTTGCTTGTCCCTGCGGCGTTTATTTGAGGGAGGCGTTTATTCGAGTAATTACGGTAATATATATCACCATTTAGCCGCAAAAGGGCGAAACAGCTATCCGCAGATGCTAATAGTGCTGGACACGAGTCATAGTCCATTCGTGGCCTTTGCGCAGCTTCAAAACTGTGAAATGCAGTGCGTTTAGAAAGCATGGGATTCATGCAAACCCACAAATTAACCTTATAAGCTTTCGTGGCTCATGCCACGAAAGCTTAATGCCCTAAAAACAGAAAACGCATTTGCGCAACAATCAACAAATTACTTACCTCTACAGGTTTGAAACTTTTTATTTCCTCACTTGGAGTTTTCATGTACTCCTTGCATAGACTGTATACAAACTGCGGCAGAAACATGTCCTTTGACTGGGCAATCCACAGCGGTGGGAATTTTGCAGTGAGGCAGTTTACTATCGTTGTGTTGTTACCAAGCTGCCGGTTGGTTAAAAAAAATTGCCTAGAAAACAGTCATTAAAAGAACCGAATTATTAATAACCAATAAGTAATATTTATTTCCTAGAAATTGAAAATTCTGGTTTATGGAATTTGCCCGTGATTCTATTCCAAGCAAGTGTAGTGATTCATGCTTCCCCCTGTTTTCACAAAGTACTTGCAGCAGATATTTGTAAAATACTCTATAAAAATCAACATGCACGTAAGCTATTTGTAAACTCAAATGACTAAATAAACATTTATTTTCGAAGACCGATCGAATTTGAAGTCGTATATGAACTTGAAGTCGGATCTTGAAATTTGCCGAGTTTTAGCTTTTGTTAGCGATTTTTGCACATTTGTAGTAGGTAATCATACATTTATATCTATCAATTTTTTAAATTTCTATACTGTATAATTCGGTGATTACAGTGGAATTGCGGTGCCCACGCCAAATTCGGGACCGCATTATATTCTGCCTGTGAGTTTGCTTGTTAGTTCGCATCAACACGGACGTGAATATTCTTGATCGTTAGTTTTCTGACAACTATGATACTATCTAACGGTGAACGCCGGTAAGACGCAGGCTATGGTAATGAGCAATCTTCCCTGCAATCTTTCCTGCAAGCTGATTGGCTGTAGCAGGGGGTGGAATTTTACGATATCTGACCACTGTCCGGAATCCTATATTTTATGAGTCTGACTACGATACGACCGAACGCCGCTTTTTGTAAAAAAATAAATACGTTATTTACCGTTTTGGTTCTTCCGGATAGAAAAATATTTCCCTATTTCCCTGAAAAATATTTTTCTATCCGAACCTCGCAGCCGGTAAATAACATATATATCTTCACGCGACAGTGTAATATGCTATATGTATTATTACAGAGTAAATCTAGATACAGAGTTGGAACTACACGTTGTAAACACTGCCGAAAATTATGTTATTCTGTACCCAGCTTTCTTTAAAGCCGACGATAAAAAATTGATAAACTGCAGGTGCTCGGCAAGTTACGCGAGCAGTTTTATCCAATGGGTTTGCATTGAATGCATCTGGTAACTTGCTGAGCATGCGCACAAAAAACGTGGACGCACTAGTCGTGGTGAGAACTATATTTTTCTCATTTTCTGCGCTCATGCGTAACATTTTTACTCACCACTCGAAGAAAAAATCACCGCCTAATATCCTCTATTATTAATTTAAACATAACAAAAAGCTTGCCAGTCTTCAATTTTTATACTTTTCATGATATTTAAGTGCTGTTTTAATACGCACCGAAACAACAAAATTACGTTTGAGTGGCAGTGTTTATTTTAACAAAATATACATAGCTAGCTGCCGGTTAGGTGGGTGCAGAAAAAAATTAACAACACATCTTACCTTGACGATCTGTCATTATCTGCCGATATAAATGGATCCCTCACTGCTAAAATTATACGGATGATGTACCCTATAACACTCCCTTCTCCATCCCCAACATACCCATCGACTTTTACGTCGAAATTTGTTATCTCTTCAAACCCATTTGTACGTTCATATCCAAGAACACCGTTCTTAGATATAAGCTTATTGGGATCTACCTCTTCACAAGCCGCTTCGACTTCATCAACAGGCTCCATTTGGCATTGACATCAACAAGAAACAAGTATTTTATTTTTAGCAAAGCTCAGAGACATGTGCTCATAATCATATACACAGATATGAAACTGAAGCCAAATTGAGTCACATGGTTTTTTGCCTAATGTGCGCGTGCGTAATTTCCTTGGCATGTGTCATGTTGAAATTTAATGAGTAAATCAGTAGAAAAATCGTTTGATGATGTATTTCTTTTGAATTATTCTTCATGAAGTATTAGGATACTAACATAAATGTTTAATTATGTTCAGTGACTGTCTAGTGATGCCTACTGATGTCTTGTTCTGTTTAGTGATGTCTAGTGATGGATTATAATGCCTTGTGATGTCTAGTGATGTTCAGTGATTCCGAGTGATGTTCACTAATGTCTAGTAATGCTTAGTTATGTCTAGTGATGTCCAGTGACGTCTAGTGATGTTTGGTGAGGTCTAGTGATGCATAATTATGTCTAGTGATGTCCAGTGATGCCTGGTGATGTATAATGATGTCTATCGATGCTTAGTGATGTCTATTGATGCTTGGTGATGTCCAGTGATGTATAATGATGTCCAGCGATGTCCAGTGATGTATAATGATGTCTATTGATGCTTAGTGATGTCCAGTGATATACAATGATGTCTATTGATGCTTAGTGATGTCTAGTGATGTATAATGATGTCCAGCGATGTTCAGTGATGTATAATGATGTCTATTGATGCTTAGTGATGTCCAGTGATGTATAATGATGTCCAGCGATGTCTAGTGATGTATAATGATGTCTATTGATGCTTAGTGATGTCCAGTGATGTATAATGATGTCTAGTGATGTATAATGATGTCTAGTGATATATGATGATGTCCAGCGATGTCCAGTGATGTATAACGATGTCCAGCGATGTCTAGTGATGTATAATGATGTCTATTGATGCTTGGTGATGTCTAGTGATGTATAAAGATGTCTAGTGATGTATAATGATGTCCAGTGATGTCTAGTGTTGTATAATGATGTCCAGTGATGTATAATGATGTCCAGTGATGTATAATGATGTCCAGCGATGCCTAGTGATGTATAATGATGTCTATTGATGCTTAGTGATGTCCAGTGATGTATAATGATGTCCAGCGATGTCTAGTGATGTATAATGATGTCTAGTGATGTATAATGATGTCCAGTGATGTATAATGATGTCCAGTGATGTATAATGATGTCTATTGATGCTTGGTGATGTCCAGTGATGTATAATGATGTCTAGTGATGTATAATGATGTCTAGTGATGTATAATGATGTCTATTGATGCTTAGTGATGTCCAGTGATGTATAATGATGTCCAGCGATGTCTAGTGATGTATAATGATGTCTATTGATGCTTGGTGATGTCCAGTGATGTATAATGATGTCTAGTGATGTCCAGTGATGTATAATGATGTTTAGTGATGTATAATGATGTCTATTGATGTTGAGTGATGTATAATGATGTTTATTGATGCTTGGTGATGTCTAGTGATGTATAATGATGTCCAGTGATGTCTAGTGATGTATAATGATGTCTAGTGATGTATAGTGATGTCTAGTGATGTATAATGATGTCCAGTGATGTATAATGATGTCCAGCGATGTCTAGTGATGTATAATGGTGTCTATTGATGCTTAGTGATATCCAGTGATGTATAATGATGTCTAGTGATGTATAATGATGTCTAGTGATGTATGATGATGTCCAGCGATGTCCAGTGATGTATAACGATGTCCAGCGATGTCTAGTGATGTATAATGATGTCTATTGATGCTTGGTGATGTCTAGTGATGTATAATGATGTCCAATGATGTATAATGATGTCCAATGATGTCTAGTGATGTATAATGATGTCTAGTGATGTATAGTGATGTCTAGTGATGTATAATGATGTCCAGTGATGTATAATGATGTCCAGTGATGTATAATGATGTCCAGCGATGTCTAGTGATGTATAATGATGTCTATTGATGCTTGGTGATGTCTAGTGATGTATAATGATGTCTAGTGATGTATAATGATGTCTAGTGATGTATAATGATGTCCAGTGATGTATAATGATGTCCAGTGATGTATAATGATGTTCAGTGATGTATAATGATGTCTAGTGATGTATAATGATGTCCAGTGATGTATAACGATGTCCAGCGATTTCTAGTGATGTATAATGATGTCTATTGATGCTTAGTGATGTCCAGTGATGTATAATGATGTCCAGCGATGTCTAGTGATGTATAATGATGTCTATTGATGCTTGGTGATGTCTAGTGATGTATAAAGATGTCTAGTGATGTATAATGATGTCCAGTGATGTCTAGTGATGTATAATGATGTCTAGTGATGTATAGTGATGTCTAGTGATGTATAATGATGTCCAGTGATGTATAATGATGTCCAGTGATGTATAATGATGTGTCCAGTGATGTATAATGATGTCCAGTGATGTATAATGATGTCCAGTGATGTATAATGATGTCTAGTGATGTATAATGATGTCTATTGATGCTTAGTGATGTCCAGTGATGTATAATGATGTCCAGCGATGTCTAGTGATGTATAATGATGTCTAGTGATGTATAATGATGTCCAGTGATGTATAACGATGTCCAGTGATGTATAATGATGTCTAGTGATGTATAATGATGTCCAGCGATGTCCAGTGATGTATAATGATGTCCATTGATGTATATGATGTCCAGTGATATGCAATGATGTCTAGCAATGCCTAGTTGCGTGTAAGGATGTATATTGATATGTTATGATGGGTATCTATGATGAATTATGGCTATTGATGTATATATGCCAGCTAAAAACAAGTGCGATTTTACTATTGGTGTATACTGGACATAAACTTATTACCAGATGCTTGACAACAGCCAGAGGCGTTTCGTTGCAATCATTTGTAGTTTTTGACGGTTTAAGGCCAGTGGATAAAACTTGAAAGATGGATAAAGATATAGATGACCTTCTCGATGAAGCAGAATTGAAATTTTGTAAAAATACCGGCCCGGCAAAAACTACGAGTAAGAAAACAAGCGCTAGTGCAGAGCAAAGCAGGTTGGAATAGTAAATATGTTTCGAGTGTATATGAATTATAGAACATACGTTTACCTAAAAGTATTAAAATTTATTTGGATGTGATCACTATGGTCTATAAAAGCTATTTTGTGTCAATACAAAATTCCCCCCCTTGTCCCCCCCCCCTTGCACCGAATAAGGGTTTGGTACAGGGGGGCATCAGGGGACACCCTGCCTGAGATATAGGTCGCCCATATTATTAGAGGTTGCCTCAATCAGCTTCCTATAACAGGGAATCACAGGGAGAAATCGACAATTCCTAACGGGATGGTTTTAAAATTTATGTCCTGAAAAGAAATATATTACAGTTGGTCATTGCAGATCTATCACCTTCATAAGCTTATTATCACTGTCTGGTAGGTCAATAGGTCCGAATGTAAAAAGGAAGGATCAATCTGACCTAAATGCTATGATTGACGATATATGTACAGATGATGGACCAGTGTACAAGGTAAAATAGAAAAATGAACCCATAATAATATATGTATGGTCTTCAAAGAAGACAAAATACTAATTTTACCAATTGTACCATAATTTCTTGAATTTAATAATTATAGCCACATTCATCTCAGAAGAGCAAAAATGATCAAAACTCTCAAACTTCAAACAAATCAAGAAAATGTTATCCAGTTTATCTTGGAGGAAGTCGACATGCAAGTGGAATTTCCAGTGCATCTGTTCAAAGGTACATAGTGCTTAGCCCAGCCCTTTGCTATCAAAACTGTTGAATTTTACAGTTTATGTTTTGCTTCGTAGGACATGTAACCAGCTACGTTGCACTTCATGTGATTTTGAAGTGGTTGCATTTGACAACTATCAATGGCATTCATCTTGTGATTATTTATTCTTCCGTAATAATATCCCAGACTTTAGCAAGTTAAAAGTTAATCTAATACAAAAAAGAGGTGAGATAAAAAGCAAAGTGATTTTTTACGTCTTAGTTAACAATTCCACTCACTTGATTAAATTCTCAGTTTCTTATTAATTTTGTTGGCTGAGATGCAAAATATTGCTGTTCAGAATAGGCCTTTATACCCCAACAAATTACTACCTTGTATATTCCCAATGAATTACTTCTAAATTCTAGTAATGGTCATTCAATTCAATTCATTTATAAAGATCAATTTGTTTTATCTAGGTAGTAGGGCATATGCTTGCCAATGCGCATGGAGATCTGTGAGCGACATACAGAATATTGAAACAGATTCCGAATTACGATGGGTGTGTGGAAAACATATCTAGATGGGATTACAAATATACCTGAAACTGTATAAATATATCTACAGACTACAAAATATTTATATCTAATTTAAAAAATAACATTCTAGACACTGTCAGTTGAAATAGTTAATATATTTCAAATATGTTAGTTGACAATTTGCATCCGCTATATCAAGAAACTGTGAAAATTATAGAACTAGAAGTAAATTAAAAATACTGAGAGATTCATTTTAATTTATTTTCGGACCAATAGTATCCATATATTCCATGCCGTCATATATTATACAAGTTACAATGTGTATTTGACACTAGGCAGTGAGTGAAATTTCATTTCAACCAATCTTTTTACAAGATTTATGAAATTTTGAATGTATTCCAATAAATGTTAGAATACCTGGACATATTATGATTGGAATGCCACCACCAGATACACTCATCCATCCAACTTAATCTTCAATTCATGCTACAATAGAAAAGGATATTATTCATCACAGACATCAACAATGTTCAATCACAATTAAACAACATGCTCAAATTGTCTGCTTCTGCACTGTTTTAAAATCAATATATACGAGATGAAAATAAGAGTTCTTGGAGTTGCATGCTTAATTAATAGCTTGCATATATAGAAAAGATGTACAAATATATATACCTCTCAATTAATGAATCTCTCATTGTTGTTGCAATGCTTGATGGCTGTGCATCACCAAGTTTGAATACACTTTCAATAACAGATAGTTCAGTGCTGGTTGTATCGAGCCCGCAGAATGCACACCAGTCATTAACAACCATGCCAGCCCCAATCACTTCACTTCCACGATTCACAGTGCCTGCCTGTACATGGAAAGTTGAAAGTCATTGCAAAACATCTTGTGAATAAATGAACACAGAAAAGATGGTATATCACAATACAGTACCACAAGAGGAACTTGTAATAAGGATGACAGTTCATCTTGATCTTCAACTGGCGTATGGGGATGAACCTTGATAATTTAACATTCGATTAGTCTACAACCACAGCCTACTAGTGGTTCAATGGCAAAACAACCCATTCTACTGAAGAGTTAGGATCATAAAGGACTTTTCAAATGACTGAAATAGCAAGACATACCAGGCCACCTTGGTTGGTGATAGCACAGTAACTGCCTGTTAAGACATTGCCAGCAACGGTTTGACGAAATACTTCAACTTTTAGAACATCAGCTAAAATCTCTTCTGTTTCCTGTTGATTAAAATAGATGAATCTTAGTGATAACAACACAATCCGAGATGGTTTCTTATGAAAATATATTGCACTTCTCATATTTATGGTTAATGTTTTCTTCCACAAACCGTAAAAGTTGGTTCAGATCATTAACCTCTTGAACTCTAAATTACTAAAAATATTTCTCTCTACTGAAGTAATAAAATACAACAACAAATTAACTTACTCTATCCAAGTCAGGATGCACAAGAGCAACATAATCATTACAAGCGACAACGTTTCCCAGAGCAGACAGACGTTCCTCCACCCTCTGTATTTTCACACTGTCTGGCAATGAATTACGAATGTGCTGCAGCTCCTGAATTAGAATAAGATGTGTTATCTTCACCTTCGTCAGATAAAATAATAAAAAAAAAATTCTAGCCAATTGTTGAAGCAAAATTCAAAATAACCTGATCTGTCGTTGTGTTGGGGACTAGTAAACCATGTCGATTACCTGTAAGGTTTGCAATAAGTCAATTATGACATCTCAACATTTTATTCAATTATTTCTGGTATTTTTGCAAATTTTATAGAACTAAAGGGGTTTCGACCTAAAGGTTAATCAATAACTTACCAATAGTTAATCTACCAATAATTCTGCAACCAGCAATTGATGAGCGTATCACTGGTATTACATCGGCCAATTCCCCTTCAAATACACTAAAAAAAAAAATTTACCCATTAAAATATTCACATCAAATCCCACCAAGAAATTATCTTGATCACGTGGTGAACAAGAGAAACTTTCCTGGAAAGGGAAATCTGTACATTTAATAATTGCAACATGGAGTTTTGTTCGCTTTTCAGAAGACAGACATTTCTAACAATAATCTAACATCTCACATACCTATAAAAACTCTGGGACGCGCCAATACCAACTAAGCAGTAGGAATTGGTCAACTTTGAAAAGACTCCAACTTCGTTATTGTTCTCAAACTGAGCGCGAACTGCCATATAAGTATTTAAAAATCCGCTTGACAAACGTGGAAACTCCTTGAAAGTATGCTGTACTGTTTCCCTTCCTTTTATACCGTGATTTACGGTTTTGAGAATCTATTTTTGGTATCTTACAAAACGTTCCGCATTTGTATTGCACCAAATTTCTCCATTGCACGTTGTTTTGCAATACCATGAGCCCACTATTCCTCCTGTGAAGAACGTGGTGTTGTCCGCATAAAATGGCCGGAGGACTTGTACGCCACAGGCCTTGATAGGTAAACTTTGAAGACGGTATATTCAGCCATGGTCGAGCACATTCTCGACCACAAACGGACTCGGCCATGGTCGAATTACTCGTTTTCCGGCGATTACGACCATGGTCGAATTCGTCATTTTCCGGCGAACTCGACCATGGTCGAGTTAGTCGTTTTCCGGCGAACTCGACCATGGTCGAGTTAGTCGTTTTCCGGCGAACTCGACCATGGTCGAGTTAGTCGTTTTCCGGCGAACTCGACCATGGTCGAGTTAGTCGTTTTCCGGCGAACTCGACCATGGTCGAGTTAGTCGTTTTCCGGCGAACTCGACCATGGTCGAGTTAGTCGTTTTCCGGCGAACTCGACCATGGTCGAGTTAGTCGTTTTCCGGCGAACTCGACCATGGTCGAGTTAGTCGTTTTCCGGCGAACTCGACCATGGTCGAGTTAGTCGTTTTCCGGCGAACTCGACCATGGTCGAATTAGTCGTTTTCCGGCGAACTCGACCATGGTCGAGCTAGTCGCCCCCCGGCGAACTCGACCATGGTCGAGTTAGTCGTTTTCCGGCGAACTCGACCATGGTCGAGCTAGTCGCCCCCCGGCGAACTCGACCATGGTCGAGTTAGTCGTTTTCCGGCGAACTCGACCATGGTCGAGTTAGTCGTTTTCCGGCGAACTCGACCATGGTCGAGTTAGTCGTTTTCCGGCGAACTCGACCATGGTCGAGTTAGTCGTTTTCCGGCGAACTCGACCATGGTCGAGTTAATCGTTTTCCGGCGAACTCGACCATGGTCGAATTAGTCGTTTTCCGGCGAACTCGACCATGGTCGAGTTAGTCGTTTTCCGGCGAACTCGACCATGGTCGAGTTAATCGTTTTCCGGCGAACTCGACCATGGTCGAATTAGTCGTTTTCCGGCGAACTCGACCATGGTCGAGTTAGTCGTTTTCCGGCGAACTCGACCATGGTCGAGTTAGTCGTTTTCCGGCGAACTCGACCATGGTCGAATTAGTCGTTTTCCGGCGAACTCGACCATGGTCGAATTAGTCGTTTTCTGGCGGACTCGATTATGGTCGAATACGCCATTTTCTGGCGGACTCGACCATGGTCGAATACGCCATTTTCCGGCGGACTCGCCCGTGGTCGAGTCAGCCATTCTTTGGTGGTTGTCTAATATTTTCTAATGTTGGTTTATCAAGTTGACCTTATTTACATTTTCTCGCGCGACGTTTGGCCACGCGGGTAATAATCCATGTCCTATGTACACTAATATACTGCAGGCACATAGGGATATATAGGGGGTCTCCAAGGTATATTGGTGTATACAGGAGTAATATTATCGCCACGCGGGACACACGCAGCAATTACAAAACGAAATGGCCGATGTTTCAAAGCTTCGTGGAGTCGCTTGTAAAACAATCGAAGATACTTCAGCTGAACTCAACAATATAAGCCAGGAAATATGGAAACATCCTCAGCAAAATTTCGAGGAAGTATTCGCGCACAATCTTTTAACAACGTTTTTAAAAGAGAGAGGATTCGAAGTGACTCCTAAAGTTGCCGGTCTGGAAACCGCGTTCAGAGCTGAGTACAATGGTGATATGAAAAGGCCCCGTGTTGGTATAATCTGCGAATACGATGCGTTACCAGAGATAGATCATGCATGTGGTCATAATCTCATCGCAGAAGCTGGTATTGCTGCCGCTTTAGGTAAGAATAAAAATCGAAGGAAATTAAGTAATCATGTGGTAGTAATTATGCCACTTTAATTGCCACAAATTCAACAATGGTGACTGACAATTTTAGTTTTAGTTGTTGTTAAAGGCGCTGTTACACTATGTAACTTTCCTTGCAACTTCCAATGCAATTCTACTCCTGAAGCATCTGAAGTTGACAAATACGAACATTTCTTATAATCCGCTAATGTTTCTAAGAATTTTGGAACCCTCCTTACTAATTAACATCACTCAAAACTATAGTTGCAAGTTGCAAGGAAAATTGCATAGCGTAACAGCGCCTTAAACCAACAGTTGTGTATATGTAGTTTTCTATTGTTTTTGTGTGTGTTTTCTTCAGGAATAAAAGCAGCCATTGAAGCTTCCAACAACACTCTTGGCAGTCTTGTTGTGTTTGGGACACCTGCAGAAGAGGGTGGCGGAGGGAAGATTTTTATGATAGATGAAGGATGCTTTGATGATGTTGACTTTTGTATGATGGTACATCCGACTGCCTTTGATTCAGCCACTCCCTTGGTTCTAGCTTGTCAGCATATGCGTATCAGTTACCATGGTCATGCCGCCCATGCAGCGGCGTTTCCTTGGGAGGGTGTGAATGCTTTAGATGCCGGCGTGGCCTGCTACACATCTCTCAGCATGTTACGACAGCAGATGAAGCCAACATGGCGTGTCCATGGTGTGTTCAAAGATGGTGGGGTAAAACCAAACATCATACCAGATACATCCGTCTTGAAATACTATTTCCGAGCCCCAGACAACGAGGAGCTTGTCGATTTAATGGCGAAAGCAAAAGGATGCTGGGAAGGTGCTGCAAGTGCTACAGGTAATTTTCCCAGTCTTGTATTCAATTCTGGAAATTAAACATATGGTGCCTCCTTGAACAACTTGATCACTTCCCGTTATTAGGATTATTGTACAGAACATATTATGGAATGTGTAATTTAATTTATTATAGGTTGCACTGTTGAAGTTGAGTGTCATGGATATGGGAAGAACAATGTAAATTATGCTGCTATGAAACATAACCAAGTTTTAGCCAAGTTGTACCAGAAATATGCTGAAAGTTTAGGAGTGAAATTTCTCCCAGAAGGAGAGGCAGAAAACGCATTGCTTGGTTCAACAGACATGGGAAACGTATCCCTTGTTAAGCCAGCCATACATCCTGCATTCACAATCAATTCCCCAGCAGTGATCCACACGCATGAATTCAAAGATGCCGCTAGCAAACCTGAAGCCCAGCCAAAGGTGTTAATAGCTGGCAAGTCAATGGCGATGACATCAATTGATGTTTTGGCAGACACTCAGCTTTTAAAATCAGTAGTTGAAGAATTTGAACAGAAATCTTAAACATTTTTTTATTATTTATTTGTGTGAATTGATTAATTTATGCGTTCAAAAATGATAGATTTTATACTTTAGGCTATGGTCACATACGCAAAAAAACTAGAAAGTCCTTTATTAAATTGATTCTTTAATTGCATGTCTAAAGGTGCATTAGGAACATATATCAAGAACTTAATGGTGTTGAAAACATTTTGGGAGATTTTGTCCACAGCATTTATACAAATTATATTTTTACATTTTCATTCAACATTGTGTTTTAAATAACTATGTAAATGATGAAGTCCTGTTTTTATTCGACAATTTCAGCTCAGCTAATTTCCTTGTATTTGTGTGATTGACTTTTAATTAATAAACCTTCAAACTACCATTTAATTCCTAGAGCAGTGACATTTTTCTCCACAGCATGGTAACTTGTATGCAACACCTCCTTACATCTTTCTGAGTTTTGACCACCGAGCCATTTCTCGTATACTTCTTGGACATTTTTATCGTTCTCTGGTAAAGATGACTTCAGAGAATTATAAAGTTTGGCAACTTTTTCTATTAACTCTTTTGATGACTCCTCTGGAGAAGGTCTGATCTGACCTCCTCCATTAACGCACCCTGACGGACAAGCCATGACCTCAACAAAATGATAGGGGCACTTGTTCCGTTTTAGTTTCTGCACTAGGTTTTGAATATTACGAAAGCCATAAGCAAGAGCAAACTTCAGGACAGGTTTATCTTCATGTTCGAGCACAACTTCTTGAAAGTCCTTATTTCTCATTGTCTTGTATGTAAGATCTTCAACTTTTTTCCCAAACAGTGCCTGTGCAGCATAACAGAAAACATGCTCAAGGTAACCCCCAGATCCACCACCTCTGTGATTGGTCATTTCAGAATCATTTCCGGTTTCAATCATTTCATCCAGTTGAAGTGGAGCTAAGCTTGGGAAGTCGATCGCCTTTTCTTCGAACATTTGCTCAACCTCAAGGGAGGTTATCACACAGTCTACATCACGAGTGTGGTATATATCATTGTAAAAATCTTCTCTGGAGGCTTCTAACTTCTTATCATAGCAAGGCATGACCGTCACATGGTACACTTTATCTGGTGATTTCCCAACTCTGCTTCCCAGATACTCTTTCACCAGACTCCCCATGACCTGTTGTGGTGACTTGGTGGTACTTATGAACGGCAATATAAACTGCCCATGGGTTTTCTCGGCGTAGCAGATCCAACCAGGGCACGCCGAGGTTAGCAGAGGAACATTTTTGGTTGGATTCGGGTTATTACGATATCTTTCAACAAATTCCTTCTGAATTTCAAGCAAACTGAAATTCCGTGCAAAAGTTGTATCGAAAACATAATGCACTCCTAAATCTTTGAAAAATCTTGTAAGTTTTAGAGCTGTCTCTTTAATGCCCAGGTTGAAGTTGGCTGCAATGGACGCTCTAGATTGAGGTGAGACGCTAACAACGATTAACTTTTGTTCAGTTTCGGCTAGCTGGGCATTCTCTTCGATGATTTTATACAACTCATCTTGGCTTTGTTGTGTGATTAGTACACTCTCTGCCGAAGTAATGCAACCGCTGCATGCAAGGCAATCATTTAACGTGATTTTTGCTTTCTCTAATTTCGTTTTACTGCCGGCATTTAGTTGATAATAACTGCCATCATCTTCGACCTTGATTTTGGCAACCCCTCCTTCTCTTTTCTCAATCTTTACGGGCTTGACGCATTCTTGTGAGGGTGTTATAAAGTCGTCTAGATCAGTCAATTGTAGAACACCACTAAATTTCGCCATTTTGGGATGAACTTTTCAAGCTACCACTTCGCAATGGTTTTCTTCTTCCTTAAAAATTTCTCTGTCAATTTGTCCATGTATTCCCGGTGCTTGATTCAAAATCTATCCCACTCTACTTCGGCAATACATTAACCCATTTAAGAACACAATGCTTTTATTATTGCCAGTTTATGGAAAAAAAAACAAATTGTATTTGCACAACACTCCTCTTCATCTTCATATTTTCCACTTCAAAGGGCAACCTCCTATGTCAAATTTTCCTTCTTTCTTTAGACGTGTCCATTGAGAACAATAACTCTATTTATTACCCACTGACATTACCTGTTCCCTGACCGAGAACAACATGGATAAAGTTGAAAGATTATCCAAAATATCTGATGATTGCATTGATGAAAGTTCAGCTGATTTACATCAATTAAGTCTGAAAATATGGAATAAGCCTGAACTTTCATATCAAGAGGAATTTGCTCATAAATTATTGACTGAAACTTTGAAGGAGAAAGGTTTTGATGTGACACCACAATTTACACTGCCAACTGCTTTTCGTGCGGTGTATGATCCGGATAACAACGGTGCTGGCAAAGGATTGACCGTGGGCATTATTTGCGAGTATGATGCATTGCCTGGTATCGGACATGCATGCGGACATAATCTCATTGCTGAAGCTGGTGTTGCAGCTGGATTAGGTTTGTGTTACACATTGGCTGCTAATTCAGTTCCTCTCAGGGAGGAGCAAAGGTGGAAATTTTCCCAAGACTAGAAATGGTTAAAATGAGGAACTATGCTTATAGGAAGAAGACTTGCTCCAAAAAATTGCTCCAAATATCACTAATTATTACTAAAGGCCTCATGTCTAAATATCATTTGGTTTATAATCTAGGCATTCAAGCAGCATTAAAAGGTTCACCTTCTTTGGGTCTTGGTCGAGTTATCGTGTATGGGACACCTGCGGAGGAGGGAGGTGGTGGTAAAATAAAAATGATCAACAATGGTTGTTTTAATGAGGTTGATTTCATTATGATGGCTCACCCAAATCCTTATGATGCTGCCTTTCCAACATATATTGCCTGTTGCTCTGTGTCAGTTGTTTACAAGGGCCATGAAGCCCATGCCTCTGGTGGACCGTGGGGAGGGGTGAATGCACTAGACGCTGCAGTTACGGCTTACAATGGTATCAGCATGATGCGGCAACATATGAAACCATCATGGCGAGCTCATTGTATAATTGCTGAAGGTGGAACTGCCTTCAACATCATTCCAGCAAGGTCGAGACTTCAGTGCGGGGTTCGTGCACCAACAATGCCAGAGCTCAAAGTTTTGAAGGAAAAAACCCATGCAATATTTGAAGCTGCAGCACAAGCCACAGGTGGGCTTATTCATTACAACACTTTCTTCAAACCCAAAATCCATTTAATATCCTTTGAACAAAAAGCAGTTAAAATTGTGATTTATCTTGCAGGTTGTGAAGTAGAAATTGCCTGGACCAAACTGCCTTACAAAAATCTTATCACAAACTCCGTACTTGCTGATATTTACCAGCGCAATGCAGCGGAATTAGGTGTTCCATACTTGCCTCTCCATGAGCAAGCAGCAAAACATGGTGGCTCCACAGATATGGGCAATGTCTCCCAATTCAAACCAGCAATACATCCGAGATATTATGTTGCTGATAAAATCACCCACACCCCTGAGTTTCAGGTGGAAGCAGGTACGAAAGAAGCACACCGCTTTACCCTGATAGCTGCCAAATCCATGGCAAGGACGTGTTTACACGTAATGAGCAATCAAGAATTGATGAAGGACATTAATTCAGAGTTCAGTGAAAGCGTGAAAAATGAAGGCGGTGAATTGGGGGATTAAATGTGAACAGTGTGAAAATTAATATAAACCAGTAGGAATTGATAATTTTTTCTCAATATATCATTAAATTTATTATAATTTTCAATCCTATGTGTACATGCATTTGTGTGAACTTTTATATTCCGAGTACAACGCGAGCTCAGAGCAGGTTTGATTACCGTGGGCGTGGAGCAATGGCCTTTCTACATCATTTTAGGAACCTTTCTGCTAAATTACGATTGCATTAGCGCAATTAAAGCAATTGCAAGTGAACAAAGGCAATCCAGAAGAAGACTACTCGCTATGTTTTCACGAGATAGATGTTGAAATTATATTAATTCCACGCAATGTAATGAGTTTCTACGCGTAATAAGACCAATAGGAGACGTTGAAAATAATGTAAAATGTGGGAAAAGCAACAAGACACATCTTATCAAACCAGAATTTTGTGACTTCCTTCTCACTCGTTGAACACGATTGAAACACGACATCGTCGTCTACGTCTTCCAGATAACCTGTGCGCTCATCTTCCTTATTTTCCACCTGCTCTCTTTCGTCTTTTCTTTTCCATTTAAAACCAGGAAAGAGCACCACAAAATATTTCTTCAATCTTGCCTAGAATTTAGTTCAAACATGATTGTAAAAACTACAAGATAGTTCAGGGTGATTAGCAGCTGTATTGGCAAATAAAATTGTCTGGCGTTTCTTTTGCAGAAATTAATAATATAGGACTTACTAAAGCATTGCAACTGGTGAAGGATTTGAAGAACGGCTTCTTCGTGACCAAATGAAAAGTGAGCATCGTCTGCAACAATGCCATAAAAATGAATCCAAAGGATGTGATGATGAATAAGTCAGAAGCTTTGGCATAGGATAAATGAGGGAGAGAACTGTTGCTGCTACCGAGTAGGAATACTATGGACAGAATCATTGTCACTTCGAGCGCTAAACGATTTGCGATGTCTGTAGCCTCCATTAAGAACGCTAACCATGACAAGAGGACAAGGAAAATTGTGGGTATGTAAACTTGAAGGATATAGTAGCCCATTTGTCGTTGAAAAGTCAGGGAAATCGACACTTTTCCAACGAGATCTGTCAAAAAGAAACACAATTAAAAGTCCGTGAAGAAAGTCAATCTTACATGCTAAATGCAAACTCTTAGCCACGGCTAGTTATGCACCTTCGTCCTCCTGAGAAAGTCGTCGGGTTTCAACTAAGTTGAATTGTGGAAGATGGAGTGGTTTCACGATTGTTTTACTTTTTGACAGTGAAAATTTTAGCAGGGATTTCCCATAAGCATCTGAAACGAATCGTCAACGAATTACACGAATAATTTTTCAATGTGTCTACATCCGATTTATATATATAAGACTATGTCTATATGCAATCCCCTGACTGAAAGGTCCTGAATACTCACACGAGGATAGGTTGAGATAACAAGTCTGCTTATCCATTGGAAAATTGTGCAGATCCATCGGGCAACTAACTTTGACAAGAGCCCTGGGAAAAGAAGAACAATTTTTTCCTTAATCTTTGTGGAAGGACCATTTCTATAGATTCAACATCATTATTAATGTTTCAAACATGCACATCCTGATTCACCACTCAAAAAGACTGAGCGGATGAACAAACTATAGCGCATGGTCATAAATCTTACAATTGACTAAAGTAAACTCTTCCATCGGAGTAAAGGTTCATATTAATGCTACCAAAGTCCTTAAAATGCTTCACGTCCTTCATATTTCTAAATCGAATGTCAGGCAGCCAAAGTTTATCCAAAAAATGTTCGCGAAGTTTAATTTTCATTAAGTCTGTGGCATTCCACGATAACCTATAGTCATGCCAAGTCTGTCTGATATACAACAGCGTCTCTAATTCCTGTAAAGAAATGTTTAAACGGTGTTATTTGTAGTAGACCCAAAGATCTTTTATCTTATGCCTTTTCGGGAAAAAGTGTCCAGAAAGCTCTTAAGCTTGTCAATAGGAGCACAGCTCTTGCCTGCTCTTAGTCAATAGGACCACAGCTTTTACACAAGCTTTGGGATAAATAGAATGATTAGGTATTCATATGAAGTGTGTCGGAATGAGTTACCATGGCACTATCGTCCAAGTTGTACACATCTGAGACCACGATTTGTACATCAACTTGCAGCGGTTGTTCTATAGTTATACAAACGAAGAGCTCATGAATGAGAATGCATTAGGGCCATTAAAACCCGGGCAGTCGCGGGCGTAATGAAGAGTCGGCTTAGCCTTAAGACGGGCTGGCATGCAGGCTCGTATAAACAGACAGCTCGCGTCTTATTCAAGTCGCGAAGTTTTTCCCTCGTATAAATGAACCTTTCTGAATGGACCTATTGAATCCATAGGCACGTCTGTGCACTGGGCCGAAAGATTAATGGATTTTAGAATTAACTTCTTCATTTACAGCTATGATTATCTATGATATAAATATTGTATGATTATCTATTATATTGTATGATTATCTATTGTATTGTATGTTTATCCATTATATTTGAGTCATAACATACCTGGTAAGGCAGGTATAAAACGCTTATCATACCCTTTCAAAATATCGGATAAAATTTTTGTTCGTTGGTCAATGTATTCCTCGATAATCGACCTGCAAAATTGAAGAAAGATGGTATAGTTGACTTGCATATCAGCTAAAACTTTTACTAAGTTCTTAAGAAGCACTTCGTTTGAACTTTGAACCTTAAGACGGAGGGCCATATTCCTCAGTTAAACTTTTTCAACTAAGTTAGCTACCTTCACATTGGTTTCCCAGGTTCGATCAAGAAGCTATCATATTATATTTAGTATAAAAGTACAAAATTTCGCCAGAAAGATAGACAAGGTTAACAGTTTTTACTGATATACATTTAATTATATATATCGCACAGTAGGAGACTGCTGCGTTTATGAACACGTCGAAATTAAATTCATTCAAAACAAATAATTCATATTGTGAAATTCCCATTGATAATTGGAAGTTATTATACCTCCGCCCTGGCATTATCCACCGAGCAAAATAAGTTTATACAACCCCCCAAATTTGCGAAATTCCGTAAGTTGCAATCGTATCCAATAAAACATCATGGCGTTCCGGTATATCTATTAAATTAGTTTTTAAATTGTTGCTTTTATAAAATTTCTTAAAGTCTAGGAAAATGAAAAAAAAACCAAATAGATTAACTGCGTTATAATATTGCATTGAGATATAGTTTCCACGAGGAAGAGATATCAGCGTGACAGTGGGTTGCATTGAATATATTCGAAATTTAACACAAATGCGAGAGAATCTCCTTAAGTCAGACCTAAGCTTTATATGGCCTTCGCAATACCAACACTTTTGGCCGATGGTCTTGTAGCTTACAGTTACAAGTTTTCCCATATTTTGGAGTTTCATAGCTTGGAATATTGTTACATTAAAGATAAGCATGCATCTCTTGTAGTTAAATAGGAAAATCCGAAAATGTGTTGTTAAACAAGGACATTATATATGAAAATTCTTTCAAATTGATAAAATGGTCTCACAACTTACTTATTCAGGTGAACGTTTAGCGAAGAATCTCCAGATTTGATTTGTAAAAATTGGCAGAGAAGGAATACAGGAAGACGCCATTTAATCAAACTGGACCCAATCATTATTATTATTCTATAAAACAGTGCTTTCATATAAGCTCTGCCCTACCAAGTCAGTCTCGTTAACTCAAAAACATCAGTTAAGCCTGTACATAATTTGGCTGTATTCAACCGACAATCTATATTCATTAAAAGTAAATAAATTTCCGCCAGCTGCGGTTTATTTTAGGAAGAAATTTAGCTGACGGTGTTTGAATGTTGTAAATGAACATTTTTATTAATCTCCACGCCACATTATTCATTTATAGCTTTCACCACAGGAAGCTGACGAGGGAAAATTAGGAGGACCAAATCAAAAAGAAAAAATGAACTTATAGGAAGAAAATTGAGCTGAGCTCGTTTCCATCCAAACATTTTTAAGTCTGATGATGTGTTTCTACCATTACGTGCGGTAACAACTGACAAATGGTGCATGTGAAATAGTCTTTTTTAGTGCTTTGTGTCGATTATATACAAGTCTTTACCAAGCAGTAGTCCTCACTAAACGCAGTTATATAATGACACTCTTTTACATTCGCCACTTGTCGCGGTAGCGGTCAAGCTGTGACCAATATGAAAACAGTAAATTTTAAAAGCTAGATGCATGTGCACGCGTTATGCAATAGATGAGTCAAAACGATCCAAATATCTACAAAATCATATTGGTAAGGTGACGTTCACCTACTCAAATTTGTTCCAAATCACAACAATAAATATCTTACAGTATAAAATAGCAGTTTTTAGTTCATTTTAAAGCTTAGTTTTCATTTATCGTGACTTTAATCGTAGATGCCTATTGTCGGTGGACATTGAAATATAAAATGTCTCGTCTATCGAAAGGAATCTTCTCCTTTATTGATCTCCGACAATGCCAATAGATCGTTGAACATCGCTGATGAATTACGACATATGAAAACAATGTTTAAATCCTGACTATAGCTCGTAACCAGTATTTTTCATGACCTTCTCACAAATAGTGCTAATCTCGGATATTTGTTGCTTAGTTAAAACTTTGCCCCATTTCAACAAACTTGTTCCAATTATTCCGTAATTTACGAACTTATAAAGCCTAGTTTTTGTAACTTGCACAATCCTATGCTCGACGGCCGCTGGGAGTGGCATCTCCAAGAAACCATACACGCCATCAGCTGTTGCCCTTGGCGACGTGACGATGTCCTCAAAGCGAACAATCTGCAGTGCTCCAGGGGGGAGCGTAGACTCGAGTCTAAGAGCATACTCAGCGAACGCTGACCAGATATGCGCCAAAGCAATATGCTGCTTTAAAGAAGAAAAACTAAGCTTTCTCAGAACTTCAATTTCGGGTGGAAAAGTGCTTCCAGTTTTCCTAAGAGCGGATTCAAATTCTTTGAGGAATGAATTCACCACAACTGGACGGCTTAACAGCTGATCAATCCAACTTCGGGGGTCCCTTACGATGTACAAGGAAGAAGCTTTTCTAAACAACACAGATATCCTGAACAGCCAGCTGGGATTCCTAAAACTCACGGCAGCAAAGGCACTTTCGGATTTACGTATGGTAGTTCCAAGAACAGCGCTACTATCCAAAGGATTCACTAATGAAATGTAATCATTTCTTTCCTCCCTAAACGCAGTCGGGGAATTCAGAAGGGTGTTCCACCATTTTGCCACATTTTGATCTGAAACGTCCACTTTTGTCCACTCGCTCAAATCCACGTTTTCGTCAGCATCGCCATGAATTCGGGATTGCGAAGGCACGCCGATCGTGATAAAGTCGCGGTTGGTCGTGAAAAGCTCACGTGCGATTTCCACCCCACTTGAAGGAAGTCCAGTTATCAACACGGCGTTCATTCGATGGTTGTTTTTCAGGGTGGGAAGAAAGGAACTTGTGGAATACGGCGGGGAACGAAACGATCCAAAACTTGTAAAGAACCCGGGGGTATAAACATAGAGAACGGTTAAACATATCGACAGGACACAGGCCGCTATAATTCTTTGCCTAAATCGAAGACGTCTTTTCAAATCTAAGCATATTAACAGCATCACTGCACAAATGATTATGCAGTAAAAACCGTATAAACTGTCATTTGGCGGTGTTTGTGACGGCAATGTGCTGACGTTGTACGCATGACGTGGCGTCTTCACACCTAAATGAACTGTCGACTCTTTAGTCGTGGATGAAATGTGCACTTTCCCGTAGCCATTGGAACCCAGTAATCGCCTTCGTGTTCTCGGATTGTCGTACCTCGTAGATAGAATTACGTCATATTTCGTGGAGTTCAACTTGATGCTAATACGTATACCACTCGAGTTCATCTCCGCAACTTTCAAACCTTTCAGTTTGTCGTTTGGCCCATGGAAGATGTATGCGGTGCTTGTGAAATAACTCGATCGCTGCCACGTGTGATTTATGAAATTTGTTGCAAATCTCTGATGTTGCAATTTGAAGTTATTTTTAGTACTGACGTCAACAGTCGCAGCGTTTAAATGTTCCCAGCACATTCTATATCGGCCAATACCCGCGCAGCGATTTTTTGTACTGTCGTAGTCTTCCGTGTTGAACGCGAAATCAGAGTTGTGGAAGAACGCGCTCGCGTGCGTTGTCGCGCTTCGCGCACGAAATCGTACGATATCCACGAGCACGAGCACGCTTGGAGAAAGCGTGACCAAAACACGGTATACATTCGACAAACCAAGATCCTCATCATACACTTGTGTGAGTTCACCACTCATAAATACGACGTCATTTTCCCGCGAGTACCCTACGAGGTCCGCGCGCGCGGTCCACGTTCGAGCGTCGAATTTGTGGTTAAACCACATACTGCATTCTCCGAGTTGGCCGAGGTACGGTTTACTGCAACCTTTGGTTGACGGTCCGAACATCAGTGTGTTCTGTAGGTACGTGAACTTTGGTCCATAACGGCTCTCCGTCACAACGGCCTGGTCTTCAGTCACGAACACAAACGAGCCTTGGTCTGGTTGTTCGTGTCCAGGAACAAAGCCGCGTTGCAATGCGATGTCCAGACTTGGTCGTAGCTGGTTTATGGCTCGGCCATGTAGATGGCCACATTTCAAAGACAGAAATAAACGTGGTTCGAGAATTCCACCACCGTAGGTAACAACTCCCCAGTCGCTAAAGACGTGCAACTTTACATCACTCGATCTCTTGGTTTTTGAACTGTTTGAAAACAGCAACTCTGTGTGCACCAGAGACTTTCTATCAACAGAGAGAATTCCTTTCAACTTGCGCTTTTTGATGACCTTGCTGAGCCACCTAGCTCTGCCGTCTTGTAATACGTAGGTTTCCAAGAACACTAGTTGGGATTCAGGACCGTAGGCCCAGTCCATGTTGGAGTCGGCGAACCCGACAGTCCTTTGGAACCCCGGCATAATCGTGTATAAGAGAAAATCAAAGTGTTCCAGCAGCCAGTTATTTCCTCTGTAGTTGAGCGCAAAATGGCGTTCGGAAAGAAACATAAACTGCGTCAGAGAACGCATGGTGTAGGAACCGTAAGACACCCCTTCCTGAAACGAACCATCAACAACCAGCTTCAAGAATTCCATAGTCGCATTCAGCATAAATATAGATTTCTCCTGCCATTCAAGCGCACTCTTTGGGTGGTAAGGCTTCACCACAAGCGCTGCCGTCAAGAGCGCCATATAATTTGTAGCAACATGGTTGTGGATATACGAACGACCCCACCAGGCTCTATTTGCAGCTTTAAACATTTGGGTGCCTTTTTGCAGTAACGTATTTGCGTATCGATCACGTTCCTGCTGCGTGAACGAGTCGTGCAGCATATCAAAAGCAGTTGCGTAACCCAGGAGGGAGTGCGCCAGGGGGACTTCGTCTTTTTCTTTCCCCGTGACCAACCATGTATTGTAACCTGTGAAACGCGTCATGAATAACTTGGCAAGATCACGCGAGGCGCGATCCTCAGGGGTCAGAGCGCAGTAGAAGGCGAGTATTCCTAACATGTTGCCGTACTTTTCGTTCCATTGCGCGGTAAATACAGTCACATTCGCCGGCGGTATCAGTTTCTTCAAAGTCCGTATCTTTCGCACTGTGTCTGTTAACTCTTTGTAAATGTCCGCGTTACCAGATATCGCTTGCGCGCGGAGTTTTGGCAGATCTTCGGCTGAGAAGTATAAATTCGGATACTTGTGAATTTTAGCATTTACAGCGCTTCGTCGTTCATTCCTCGCTTCAGTTTCGCCACGTAATGCGGTCGCGTGTAAAACGAGAATTTGAAGTAATACGAAGAAAATCGACATCCTCGACGCTTTGGCCCTCTTGCGAGGGATACTCGCGATAAAATTGTGGAGGAATTATTAGCGGCCACTACCACCGATATATACCATGTGTGTATTTGTTTAAAAGTTGACGAGCAGACATGTGCGCGTCGTATCATCGATGGATTGATATCAGGTTTCACGTCATGACAGCTTAAAAGGTTTGATTGTTTAACCAAACTTATCGCACTTTTCATAGAGCAGGGTTGTTGCGTTGAAAGCGCAAATACTGAATAGCATACGGCAAAAACATATTCAAAAAATAACCAGAAATACATTTTGTTTAAGCAAGGTTTGGATTCAACGAGTTATACAGTCAGGCATGTTTACCTGAACTCGTTTATTACCTTTAAATGATCGAATTAGCCAATAAGAATCGGGCTTTTTATAAAACGATGATAGGCTTGATAGCTAGCCAAATATCTGGAGGCTTATAGTTTTCTACCATATGAATAAAACAATTATCCTCTGTGAGGGTGTGGAAACATAACTTTAGGCCTAATTTAGTCACCGTCGAAGTTTCGCAACGGTAAATTTTACTGACATTGTTTCAATTATCAGGATGGTATCAACACTCACATTCACTCCCCAAATATTTTCAGCATTTTTTTTGCAATATTTTAACCGTAGTCACAGAGACTTTGATAGTGTTAGCCTTTCCTTAACAATTAATATATTCCTACAGAGTTTTATATAGGAAAAATGCCAATAAACCACTCTAAGCCCATGAACTGACACAAGGCCGGAAACTTTTACAAAAAAGCTCTTGAGTTTTAAAAGGCGTCCACTCAAGGCGTTTTGTCTCCACTTAGTCCACTATATTATAAACTAATATAAACGGATACTCTTTGGTAGAATATATCATAGTATCAAGGAAACGATATAGAATGAGAGCTTGCGATTGTTCAGAAACGTTTGTGGCGCGAGTAGTGTTGTGAAAAACCGAACCAAGGTCTTTATCAGTTTTTTATTCGAAAAACGACATGAGGGAAATAATTCATCTACAGTCCGGGCAATGTGGCAATCAAATCGGAGCGAAGGTATGCAAAATGAAAAATCCTTTCTTTAAACATCTAAAGGATCATTAAATTAGAAATTTACAAGTAAAATGATTTACCGAAATTAGAGCAGCAGAGAAGAATACAAGAAATTGTATGTCAATTTGGAAACGAAAGAAAATTAATTCCCAATGTTCTTCAAGAGTCAAAATCAGGCTTTACCTAATATTGCCTGACATATAACGATATTTTAGTTCTGGGAAACGATCTCTGAAGAACATGGCATAGACGAGTCTGGTGCGTACACTGGAGACGATGACTTACAATTGGAGAAAATTGATGTCTATTACGCGCAGTCAGGATGTACGTTTTTAGAATCGTTTTTCTAATACAATGCACGCAATATACAAGTCAAATTCATTTATATATGATATAGAATTTTAACACCTTTTTTTCAGATGGTAAATACGTTCCACGGGCGATTTTGTTTGATCTTGAACCTGGTACAATGGATGCTATTCGAGCTGGTCCTTATGGTCAGAACTTCCGACCAGATAACTTTGTATTCGGTATGATTCTGTCTTTGTCTCTTTGATTCTGTCTTTGATCAGTTTAGAGCACACTGGAGCGCTATAAATCACCTCGTGTTTAAAGTTACGGTATCGAGTTTAAGTCCAATCACATTTCGAGTAACCCAACGAAGTCAATAAACCATGTAACAGTTTCACTGTTTGTTCAGGCTACAGTGGCGCGGGAAACAACTGGGCAAAAGGACACTACACCGAGGGCGCAGAACTGCTGGACACCGTATTGGACAATGTGCGCAGGGAGGCCGAGAATTGCGAGTGTTTGCAGGGGTTCCAGCTCGCGCACTCCTTGGGCGGTGGGACGGGCTCGGGTATGGGCACGTTACTCATGACGAAGATCCGGGAGGAATTCCCTGACCGGATAATGAACACCTTCAGCGTGGTACCTTCCCCGAGGGTATCAGATACCGTAGTAGAGCCATACAACGCGATACTATCCTTCCATCAGCTCATAGAAAATACGGACGAGACCTTCTGTATTGACAACGAGGCTTTGTACGATATATGTTTCAAGACTCTGAAACTCAAGACGCCCACATACGGGGATCTCAATCATCTGGTTGCCTTGACGATGAGTGGCGTCACAACTTGCCTAAGATTTCCAGGACAGGTGGGTGTGAATGGAGGGAACTATTGGAGTATAGTATTTTCAGGATGAAAAGAGATCTTATTTTGTAATGTTTTGATGATGCATCCAAAGCAATATCATGGATTAATGGAGGTTTTATTCATATCATATCTTTCCGTTCTTCAGTTGAATGCGGATTTAAGAAAACTGGCGGTGAACATGGTACCATTTCCACGTCTTCACTTCTTCATGCCCGGATTCGCCCCGCTCACGAGCCGTGGCTCACAACAATACCGTTCAATGACCGTTGGTGAACTCACCCAACAAATGTTTGACGCGAAAAACATGATGGCAGCTTGCGATCCACGCCACGGTCGCTACCTCACAGTATCCTGCATATTCCGTGGTAAGAATATTGAAGAATTTTGCCATGGACTCACTCATTTGCATGGTGAAATTCCTTGCATGAACCTCAGTTGCATCCCATGGTGAAATTCCTTGCATCTTTTTAAGGTAAGATGTCCATGAAAGAGGTTGATGATCACATGGTTCAAATCCAGAATCGAAACAGCGCGTATTTTGTGGAGTGGATCCCTAATAATGTGAAGACTGCCGTCTGCGATATCCCACCCCCCGGGATGAGAATGTCGGGAACGTTTGTTGGTAATACGACGGCAATACAAGAGTTGTTTAAACGAATCAACGAACAGTTCACGGCCATGTTTCGAAGGAAAGCTTTCTTGCATTGGTATACGGGGGAAGGCATGGATGAGATGGAATTTTGTGAGGTAAGATCAGTTGAAACACCGGGAAAATGCGCTGTGCAAATAGGGGGGTGATTGTGGAAGTCCTTACTAACTTCTTACCTTATTTTCATAATCTCCAGGCTGAGTCCAACGTTGCAGATCTTGTTTCCGAGTACCAACAATACGAAATGGAAGAAGAGGAGGTAGAACAGGATGATCATTCGGACGATGAATACTTTGACTAAAAACAATCGAGGATGACTGAAGAGTCGCGTAGTTTTGAAGTACGTTTGAATGAGCAAAATAATGAACTTGTTATTGGCAAGTAAAGCCTGGATTTCATAAATAGAAGAATGTTTGATGAAAGATGAACAAGATATAACTCCTAAGAACCTTATGACGACGTCGTAGGCCAGTAGTTTATCCAAGACAGCTTTTAGTAAACACAAATGAATCACTTTGCATCTCCAAGACATTGCATGCATGAACTTCAAACTACAGTGTCTTATCACGAAAAATGTACTCCTGCTTGAATTATTTTTCATCAATATTTTTTATCTTTTATTTCTTCATTAATCAACAACAGTAAATTACCCTGACAGTCAACTGACAACGCGGAACATAATATGATGTATGTGCAAAAATAAACCATACCACAAACCTAACATAGTGTGTTAATATTTATCTAAAATTACATTCACTCTAGAGGTCCAAGATTGTCTTATATCTATATTTGGTAGTTTTAGACGTGCAAATCCGCATCCATGAAATTGTCTTGAGTATTTCACTCAGTCCTGAAGTTGTGGTCTGAAGGAACACTAAGTTTTTGTATCGAGGTAACAGTAGACTGTGGTAATTTCAGTTCATATCTTCATATGACATAATTTAACCCAACTTTGAATGTCGATGCTAAATCATATCCCTATGTTTGAAAACGCAACGAACCCTTATATATATTATTATTATTGTTGGATAAAACTTTGATCAACGGCTTCAACTTATCTGTTTCTTGTACTTGATGAAACGAACAAGATTAGTTCTGGCTGTATTTACAATCGGAATACGATCTCCGAGTGTGGATCTTTCCTTTCTTACCTACGAAAGAGAAGCAAAATATACAAATATTTCAATAAATCAAAGGATAGAAACTCGCAACAGGAAACAAGACTAATTGTTGACTTATACAGGTCAGTAGGTAAATGATAACCTATAGTTTAAGGCCAGAGGTTTTGAAAGGACGACAGTGATTGAATCTTATATATATATATATATATATATATATATATATATATATATATATATATATATATATATATATATATATATATATACACCCATTTGCAAAAACGTTGGCCGCAGATAGATAGATAGATAGATACTCGAAATCTAATTAGAATTGCATATGATGTGTAATTTGATTGAAATCCCATGCAAATGTGATTATATGCATTTCTAATTAGACTTCGAGTATCTATCTATCTATCTGCGGCCAACGTTTTTGCAAATGGGTGTATATATATATAAAAATATATATATATATATATATATATATATATATATATATATATATATATATATATATATATATATATATGCATGAGGATAAGAGGATGTGTGTCAAATACACGCTGTTTACATTCTTACAATCCCTGTTTGACGCGTACAGTAAATATATAGTCGTCTGGCTGTAATTTCGTCTCAGTAACATGCATGGAAAAAGGGAGCTTCAATAATTCATAGGAAATATCACTGTGTTGAGATCCCAAGCTCCGCACTGGAACAGTTATAATGATAAGCTCGCTCACCCTTGACTTAAGCACCGGAACAACTTTCTCCAAGTGTGTGAGTAGGCCAATATTTTCAGCAGCCACATCTGCTGTGGGATTATCGGCGAACAAGTCAAAAATAGCGTCCAGTGCCTCAGCGATGACCCAGAGACTCTCGCCACTGGTAACCACGTCACGTAACACAATGCCGATACACTAACAAAGAAGTTTATTGGACATGGGCGGTGAGGGTCTAAACTTGCCTCAGGGTGAGTTTTTGGAGGAAAATCGGGAAATTTTGAAGCGAAAAGATGATGAAACAAACACATCATTTACCTGCAGATGTTCCAAAACGTCGGTTGAATTTGACATCACCACCATCTTGCCAATAATTCCAAGAACATTCATGAGATTGACCCGAGCTGGTTCTAGCTTGACAACGCCACACAGATGACACAACAGCTTCACTTGATCTGCCGTCACACACTAGATCATTAATTTGAGACACTCAGAATAATATCGCACAAAATCCGTAGCTGATATAAAGGATTTGTACATAATGCATCTGCTTTTTCCACTTTTGATTCGGTTCGATACATTTTATGCCTAGAACCTAGAGGGCCATCTTAAGATTACTACTGTACCTCGGTTTCAACATCTGATATTTTCTCCAGCACGGAACGAAGGGCGCTGGTTGCAGCTTCGATAAACTCATTGTCGGTTCGTGTGAACCCCGTAGCAGAGTCTGAAAACAAGTGGGTAAAAAACCAAGATACATGCAGTACTTCCTTGTCAATAATCTACGAGCGTAATCCTTAATCAAATAATCTTTTGGTGCTGGTGGTAAGGTAAGAATTAGAGCAAGGTTTAGGAATAAAACTTTGGAATGACTCTGGACATTGGAATTCCATAGACCTACTTGCAAGTTTCCGTTGCTAACCGAAGGACTGACAAATGATGATTTGGGATAAAGAGTTTTTAAATTCTTACCATTATTTTGAAAAGCTATTTCTATAATTTTACTCCAGAGTTGTGTGATAGCGTCTGCTCCTCCAAGATGATCGCTGTCAATGCTTGATAGCATATTGTTCAGACAAACCAAGGCTCGCGTCTGAATTGTCTCCATTCTAAATATTTAAATAGAGCTTCAAATAACTGCACATGACTGCAAATAATCTCTTTTTGTTACTACTGATGATTCTACAAATAAAGAATGCAGTAACATTTGTGTAACCCCAGGTAAACACTCAGTACAACTCATTCTTTTTTCAATATTTCTTTAACGCGTACATTTTCAAAAGACCAGAGCATTCTTTGCTTTTCAAAACTCCATTCTTCTCAGTTATTTGCACAAAAGAACATTTCTCCAAAACCTGCACAAAACAAAGGGAAAACAAGGCTAATTTATATACACATATTCAATGAAAGATATTGAGTCTATGCTGGAGTAATCTATTGATAATAAATAAAATATATTTACTTTTGTTGGAAGTCCATTTGTTAAAACTGATGAAACTATATCCTCTGAAAGACTGCTACAATCCTGTAAAAATGAAGAGAATATACCAAAACAGGCAGGACGTTGTCACTTTAATTTTGACTGTATAGTTTTAGGCTGATGATACCAGCAACTAGTTTGGTACGAGGCAAAATGATAACTTACCATGCAAGTTACACCTACTTCTGTATCAACACAACAATCATATTCTTCAGCACTGTGTTCATCACTGCTCACTTCCTCCCAATTCTGATCATCCATATCTACAAATTGATGATACATATTAGAATACGGACTAGCTCCTTCAATTGATTTTGCTTCTGAGAATTTTGAAACTTACCTCCGCTGCAACACATATTTGTTAAAATTTCCAATGATAGTTTCTGAGCTTCAAGATGATTGTGTAACCTTTGCATGGCCTAGTGAAACCAAATACACTCCTTCAATGATCACGCAGTTTCATTGCTTCATGTAAAGTTATTTGATTGTCAAAAAAGCATTTGCTGCAAGTGAAACAATAAACCAATTACATGTGCATTATCAGGATCACATCTTTGTTCTGGGACCTTTCCATTTTTCTTTGTACATTCTTCAGAGCTGGCCAGTTTTGCCTCTGAAAGCTCTTCCAAATCCTGACCAACATCATGACCCAACACTTTGCCAAATATGCTACAAATAGCTTGAAACATTTCAAAAACAATGTGGGATGGCAGGCTTTGAGCAATGTTGAACAATACACCCGCCATATGAACTTTCAGTAATACAAGTTCCTCAGTTGTATCATCACGCAAGAGATTTTTCTCAAGAATTTTTAAGGACTCTTTAGAGTCTGCTAAAGTTGTGGCGGCCATAGGATTGTCTTCTGTTATTGTGGCTAAACATTGAGCTAGATAAGTAGAACGACAAAGAATTTTTATACATTTAAGATTAACAAAACTAGGATAATTCTAAGTCTAGCCAGGTTTTAAAACCTAGCAAGAATTCCTACATGCCTGTTAACAAAACATTCCTCATGTCAAACAATTCAGTATCCAAAAATGTGGTAAGGATTGGCACAACGTTTTCGTCATTAATTTTCTTTATTGCTTGACTTGCATTTTCACTGCATGAACAGATTAGAAAAAAAATTAGGAAATTGAAATTCATCTGGCAAAGACTTTAGCAGATGATTTAATTACCTTAGGTTCAAAAGTAAATGCATGACTTGCTCATGAACAGAAGACTGATTTTCATCAATCTTATTTTCCATTCCTGAGCTGGCTTGGACTCTTTCTGAAAACTATGATAACAAAGTAAAGCTGAAAGGGTTGGACAAGCAAGCTCTGAGCTTTTTGCAGGTGTAGAAGTGATATTGCACAACATGAAATGTACAATCATTTGATCAATTCAAAATTAATGCATTTACGAACCTGTTTAATGTAATAGATTACAGGTGTCATTAGGTCTTGTTGGAGCATTTCTTCACAGATATTTGGTAAGCCACAGAGAGATAAATTTCTAAATACGGAGGGAAGTAAAGTAAAAAAAAATGAAATGACTGGGCCATATGTGGTCTGTACAGATTTCTACCAGGTCATGAAACAAGGGTCTCTGCATGTTCCTGAGGCAATGGGGCTTTCAATTCTTTAAGGTTGCATGGATTTGCAAACGTTGTGCATGTATTCAGCACCTTAGGATGCCAGTAGCAGCTTCCTGTATTTTCTCTTCCTTGTCCAGAATTAATGGGGCAACACGACGAACGATCTCATTCTTCATAAGAGAAGGCACAGTATCGCTTTCAAGAACAAGGTTTGCTAAACCAGCACAAGCAAATGCTCGGTCTTCCAGGCAATTCAACTGAAAGGAGAAATCCACAGTTTTAATTCATGTCACGCCAGTCACGGTGATAATGGATGAATGAATGGATTTGAAGAGTTGCAAATAGATAAGATAAATGGGGTCTCTGACAGCTCTCGAGCAACAAAAGTCTCTGTATGAAATAGCATACCTTCTCCAAGATCGGCAACGTCTTATCCTCCAAGCTGGCACCAGCCTGTCCCGATCTGTCGTCTTCCTGTTCGGCTTCTTCAACACTGATCATACCAGTTGGTTTGTGCCTGTTCTTCTTCTTATTTTGTTTAACTTTACCCATGTTTTAAAATGGTACGTTTGGGATAATATCAATTATATGACACCCAACGATATTATAAATCATAGCTTTATTCGCTGGTACAATATATTATACCATATCTTCCAAAATCACGAAATTTTACAACTAGCAGATAAATCCTGGATTGGCGGCCATATTGGATTTCAACACGCTGCCCACTGAGCTATATAAGTAACTGAATAGAAGAGAGGTATAGATGACTTGATTCGGAATATAAATCATGAAGAATATAAGAATTTTAGATTTGTCTAAAGCTGTATTACCCTCAATTCATTTTGCTAATTGTACATTTGTACTAGCTCTAAGGCTAGCTGCAGTGTTATAGGCACTGCGACTGTTCTGCGGAACATTCCACTTGTCATTCATGTTCTGAAAACGATAAACTATTAAGGAATATATATTCTCCATAAATAAGCTGAAACAGCAGTAAGCTGTCGCGAATATAAGAACTAAGAACAATCCGCTCATGTCGCCAGTGCCCAACCGCGGGTGTTCTTGGAAGGTTGCCTTGCAGGACGGAGGACTTTGCTTCAATCTCCACATATCACCGTTCCTTTTGTCTTCGTTCATTGTAAGTTCTTGCAGTTTAAACTCCGTCGCCCATGGCCAACCTTTGCGAAACATAAAGCCAACGGGGTTGGTGGAAAAATCCCTGCCCATCAAGGATAGGGAACAATTTGGGTCATGCTTCAATATTGATAGAAGAGAAATAGTGTCAGCTATGAAACCATCAAGGACTCTAAAAACATATTAAAATCAACTGTTTAAGTCTAAATGTAAAGCCCTAAAACAAAAAAAACTGTGATATTGGATACTTGGATTCAATTCTCTTTCCCAGATCAAAATTTAGTTTATAGCTAAAATCATGGATCACTTTTCGTCCATGAAGTTGCAGATAAATTGCAAACTGCCTCGATCAGAATACGCACAGGTTTGACCTTTTTGACAAAAGCAAAAAACTTGCCCTTTTTTCACTGCCTTCACTCCATCTTCCAGCGATGGCAGCAAGTTTTTCTGAATGTTATCCTGAAAAGATTTCTTGAGAACAGGATCAACGGTGTTCCGAAAATATCCCTCCAACGAGCTGCTCTTTAGCGTGCCCAGTCTTAGATTATTATCCAATATCTAGGAAAAACCATTTCAGTTTTAACAGGTAAGATTTTATGATATCTATGAGAAAAGCTGCTTTACCTCGGGATCTTTAAGACTCGTAAATGGCTTGGTTGATTCTTGTTTGACAATTTCAGCCATCAAACGCGCGACGTAGACATTGACAAATATTAAGGCGAGAAAGGCTAGCCAACTTGATAAATAACGAGCACTCAACGTCAGCGGTTTCTTGCTGTCTCCGACGTCTCGTCCAAACGCAGTCGCCCAAACATAACTCGTTGATTCTAGCGAGGAATAATCCGTAATAACTTGCTTGCAAAAATTGGTTAACCAAATTAAGTTACCATGGCCTTAAGATGGCCTTAAGACTAGTAATGTCCCCTGGACTCAATTAATGCCCCTGGACTCAATTACACCCTAAGACTAGTAATGTCCCCTGGACTCAATTAATGTCCCCTAGACTCAATTACACCCTAATAATGTAGTAATTACCCGGTTATAACCTACCAAGTAATGTAAATTTCTCCTTTTTTCGCCCTCGTCTCATGTTTCTGTAGGACAGGCATATCTTATCTGCCCCCCATATGAGGAACAAGAAAAGATTAAACGCCATTACAATAGTCACGAGAAGATCCACGTGAATAGGATTGATAAATACTTGAAAGTTTCCAACCAACTCATAAAAGGTAACTGCTAGAAAAAAAACGAGTTAAAAACGAGTTAATTAAGGTTTTATCGCGCGGAATATAAAGTTTTACTGTACCTTTCTTCGGATCGTTGTGTTTCGGGAACTCTAACTTTACAATAGCATTGAATCCGTCGTAAAGATAACCCAATGAGCAGTCCAGTATCTTGCAACGGTCAGGTCGTAGTCCAAGCTCGACAGATATGTCGCCTTTCCCGCTCAAAATGTCTTTAATCACGCCATTCCACAAGCCAGTCTTGTTATCGAACACTCCATAGAGTTTTTCCGCTTGAAAATATAGCTCAAATTCATAAGGTAACTTGCTAGCGAGATAAATTAGAATATCAACTGTCCATCCTGAGCAACAGTATTTCAGTTCATCATAGTTTATGACCTAGAAAAAGTTTAAACAGGTCATTCGAATTAAGGTTTAGATTTGGAGGTACACAAGGTTTGAACAGAAATCGACTAACATCGCACAGCCCTCACCGTGGAATTATCATATTTTGTTAGTTGACCGTAACAAGGCAGGGAATTGACTGGACATTTTGCGTCAATGTCAGGCCATTTATGTTTCACAATGTACGGGAAGTATTCAACTATTGGAACGCGGAACACACGAAACTGATTTGGTCTGAGAATCCTTGTGAAGTTAGTTGATCCTTCCTGATATGGGCAAGCCTGGATGATGACACCGTTCCACGTCGCAATGCGTCTCCCATGGATTCGCTGACCAAAACTGCTGCTGCTCGCTTGCAATTGCATAACATCCAGAAAACAGCTGTGTGTGAACGCCTGGGATAAGTTTCTTTCAAAACAAAAGAAAGAAGATGTAAGGTAAAGTGATAATCACCCCGGCCGGCCCAACCTTATCGTGGAGTTTTTAATGATAATTTTTGTTGGCAGACGGTTTAATCAAGTTTCATGCTGGGACTAGAAAACTGAGGAATCATAATGAGTCACCTTCTCGTGATTTCCTGAAAACAGACGTTTCTACGGTTGCGCTTTACTATCGATGTCTCATTTGACGCAACGTCCCCATAACAATTCCTTAGGACTTGAGATGTCTTTTTGAAAAGCAACCACAAGACAACATTTTGATCTGAAGACACTGTTTCTGGTTTGTCTTCTTGAAATGCAAGCGCCTGAAAATCCTTTCTAAACAGGAATTCATTGCTGATATCCGAATGGACGGCGGGAAAAATCCATAAAATTTTACCAAACCGTTCTCCTAAAACCATTCGCACCATGTTAAACACTCTTTTAACACGAAAATCATTTGGATACAGAAAACCCAAAAGGAATGTAACGCCTGACGTTGTGTTTTTATCCAAATCATCTGCAATAGTTTTTAAGGTTCTTTTAAGATGATTTTCAAGTTCGAATTCGGCTCCAAGCCAGAGCGTACGGTGAAGTTTTAGTTTCATGTGCTTCAGTTCAAGAATTATGTCTCGATGAAATTCTACCCCATGTTTATCAGCAGGAACGAAGAGATAAATTCTCGCTGCTTTATCAAGCTGATGCATCACTGCAGCACTGCCTTTTACCTACAAGAAAGAAAGAAAAAATCGTTCAACTGAGCCGGAAAACAAAGAACTGCATCTTCTCTTTTTGGTCAATCCTCCGGTATTGTCAACGCTAGAGAGATAAAGTTAAAACAAAAATGTTGGATAGTTTGATTTTTATAGATTTAAGCTGAAACTGTTCTCCTTGTAAATATATAATCTCTGGAAGGGTCTTTATACTAGATCTAGCGCTACAATCTCTTACTTTCTTTAATCTCTTACAATCTCTGCGATAATCTCTTGCTAAATCTAGTGTTACGATACCATTGATAACAACGTCATTATATATCCTTAGTTTGAGATCCTCGCTCTCATGAGCTGCATGTAAGCCCATTGTCTGTGGAAAAAACACTTACAGCAAAATATGGCTGTTCGCAACTGGAAATGAAATTGATATTATGAACATTGAGATACGTCAACAAGGTTCTCTCGCACAAACAGTCATGAAGCAATAAGATCACAATATCGTATGGTATAGAGACGTTCATAAAAGACAGAAATGTTCCAATATCACAAATAGTTGAGTTGAAATCTTTGTAGATGAATTCCACTTTATTATCAAAACCTGGTAAATCCGATGGGATTCTCTCAAACGCTTTTCTGATGGCTAATGGGGATGCCTTGGTGCCTTGTGGATGGCGTTTAGCGCTGTTGAACAAAACTGCAATTGAAACTCGCGAGAATGCACCTGCCTCGACTTGCGATATGAATGTTGAACTTAATACAAAGAAAAATAGAAGTTGATAAGATTTCCAGCCGTGTGACATATTGCCGTATTTTTTCGTTGAATCTTGTCCACAAAACAGTCCAAATCTATTCAAACATTATGAGTGGATTAATTCATCAACCTGTCCTGTTTCGTCACAATACCGACTTCTCCGAAAAACAGGTCGTTATCGACGTGAAAAACATACACAAATCCTCCAAAAGAGGCCGACATGTGTTGTCTTGAGAGATTCATATAAACCGACTTAATGTTTTTTCAACAAGCCACATTCACACAAAGCCTACAAGGTGTAGAGGCGTTAGGCGTATGTAATGAAAAGGATTATATTATACATAACAGTAGCCCAACTGCTGTGACTTTAATTTCCGCTCCAGTATCACACGTTGGCAATTCCTCAATCCACCAGCAACGCGTGTCAAAACATAACATCGAAATTGCATTCCAACTGGCCTGAAATAATTAAAGCGAGAGCCCTCAGTTTTAATTATCGGTTTATCATACGATGCGATCGCCGTTTCACTTTTAAACTATTGGATTAAAAATGGTTTCCGTGATCATCTCTGCCAATTTTAATTAGAGAGAAGGCACGAAAAGTCTCGTTAAACGTTAATTAAGATTCTCAATTCAACTATGAGCGCTGCGAGGATAAGGAGCAGTATTAGTAGGCAATATCGTTATTAAATGTTCCACATTTGAACAGCAGCTGGTTCAATACTCCTGCAGATACGGAAACGGATAGGAAATGTGTTATTTGCTCCTGGGGACTGATCTTGTGCGATAAGTCTTCTGTGTGAAACTGCAAGACCCAACCAAATTGGTTCCATTAGGCTAGTCGTTTGCTCTACTGAGTTGCCAGGTACACCTATGATACTCTTGTCTAGTTGCACTGAGGAATAAAGTAAAGTAAAGTTCAGTGACACGATTGTGTCTGCACGATTGCTCAGTGACACGATTGCTTAGCAAGGCGGCCGAGACAGAAAGAGGACAGTTGATACAAATGAATGAAATGTTCGTTGGAATCGAGGCAAAATAAAAGAAAGTTATAGCCGATGTGAACCAAAAACTTCTCAAGTTGGAGTTAGGCTAAAGTCGTTGTGCAACTGCCAGAGAATTATCTTCGTAGAGCGTGAATATTAATTTAGTTTGAACTGTTAATTTGAGTTGAGAATATCAATATGCAATATGAACGTCATTTCGACTCTCAGTGGCGGGATGTGCTCGCATGTCAAATGCTATTATGGATATTATCACGCTTATACATTATGTATATGTCTTTTGACACGAAATATCCCCGATTCTGTTGACCTGTTTCTCAACCTGGACATTAAGACCATATGATATCAATTTTTGAACTCCGTTTTATTTGGCGTTTTTTTAAAAAGAGTTTTTTTTGGGGAAGAGAGAATCCTCCTCCACCAAAATTAGGACGTCCCAAATTCATTTATGGTCCTGGGGTACAATCTCGTAGGTATGTAAAATGTGGAGGGTGAAATATCGTATATTCAAGAATGCAAATTTGATTACGAAAGTGAAAAGTCAAAAGTGCAGTTCAGCGAAAAAACCCTTTTATCTTTCCGAGGTATAAATCGAGGTAAGTAACATATTTTAAAATTCTATTCAAGTGTAAATTTATAATAAATGGTTAGTATTTTTCAGTAACTAGAAATCACTACAGTTTGGGACGTTTTAAGGCTGTTTATAAGACCTGTTAAAACATTAATGAATTAACATGTATTTATGAGTCACCTTGAACGGTCGCATGTCTTTACAATCAATAATATACAATTTCTACTTCCTTTGTACACAATTTGAATGCCAATAAGGCATGGCTTTTTTGAACATCAATATAAAGTGATTTGATTGTTCCTATAATTCAAGCTAAAGGAAAATATGTTTGCATCAGAAATCAATTATAACTTTGACGATCTGCTTGTACTGTGCATTACTGAATACTAGAATTCCTACATGTCCCAGTTTTGTAAAGAGATTGCAAACATAGATCTTGTTTCACTGTGTTGATATTTTCTGTGCTATTAAACCATAGCAAAAAGCCATTGAAAGATAATGGGGAAATTGTGTGAAATTTCTGGGAAGTTACCCTTGAACTTTGCCTTGGAAAATTTATCAATGTCATGTTCTTTTTGTGCATTTCTTGCAGATTTTAACTATCTGTAAGGTGTATTACTGATTCCAGCTGAAGTTGCTGTTGACGTCAGATTAACAATATGTACAGCGTTTGCGAAAGCAATGAATGCGTAATACCACACAAATTTGTTATCCCACAGTATCGTAGTAGTATAGTCGAAAAATACCAGATTCACGGCTGTAGCTAGAAGCTTAATTGAGGGGGTGTATATTCATATATTCATCTTATGCCCAAGTGATTTCTTTTGTACACAATTGTTTCTAGAGCATATAAACATGAATATATTCATATATTCATCCTATGCCTGACTGATTTCTTTTGTAGGCAATTGTTTCAACGGTATATAAACATGAGTATCTCAATATACACCCCCCAATTAAGCGGTCCAGCTACAGCCTTGACCATAATTAAAACTACTATTCTGCAACTTCCTATTTTTAAATTTTTTTGTCCTTCTGCAATGCGCGCAGTCCAGAAATCAAGGGTGTATTAGAGTTCAGTGGTGGAACATTGGTAAATAGCGGGGTAGGGGTGGGGGACTGAGGATAGGTTATTATCACTGGTTATTTAATAACCTTTGCGAAAGTGTAACTGGAAAAAGCGAAAATAACAAAGAACAAGTTTTTTTCACAAAATATTGATTATGTTTACTCGCGTGTTGTTGCAAGCGAGAGCTTACTACTCTCGATGTTCTCTTTGTTTAGCTCAAAAACCGCTTGCGATCAGTAAAACTCTCGCAGCGATGAAGAAAGCAAATTTTAGCAACAAAGCATTAACAATTGAAACCTTGAACCCACTTGTTAAAGAGGTTGAATACGCTGTTCGCGGACCGATCGTTATTCGTGCTGTCGAAATTGAGAAACAACTTGCAAAGGTAGTGTATATTATGAAGAATCCTCCGAAAGCCATGTAATATGTTGCAATTTTGAATACGTTGCAATTTCAATGTAACAATGTTCTTTTTATTGAAACAGTGTCACGAGCTACTTTCAATATTTGAGTACTATTTTCTTGCTGCTCTAAATTAATTTAAAACATGTTGGTCTAATTAAAATACGATTTAGAGCCAATTTTATATCATTCTGTCATCACTCAGGATTGATTACATTTATGCAGGGCGATAAAAAACCTTTCAGCGAGGTCCTGAAAGCAAACATTGGTGATTGTCATGCTATGGGACAGCAGCCAATCACCTTCATCAGACAGGTATGTACACAGACAATCAAATGCTATAACTTTGTTAAGTTAAGATTGATTACAATTTGATGGAAATTTACATGGCAGGTGCTGGCAATTTGTACGGATCCGAGTCTGCTTGACAGTCCTCATTACCCACAGGACGTGAAGGACAGAGTGAGGAAGGTCCTTGAAGCTTGTGGTGGTGGAAGTGTTGGTATGGAGGAATAATATGAAATATCTGAACAAAATGTTTATTTTTCTTTCATATCTAATACCAGTCTTGGTCATGATGCTATCCTTTTCTTGTGATTAATTTCTTGTTTAAGGTCAAATTCCATATTCTTGTTTCAGGTGCATATACTCATTCAAGTGGTATTGAGCTTGTTCGACAGGATTGCGCTAAGTACATTGAGCGAAGAGATGGATACCCTTGCAATGCCTCTGACATTTCATTGACAGGTGGTGCAAGTGAAGGAGTCAAGGTGAGACTTGTACACCTTTGCACTATTTTGCAAATAAACATTTCCCATTCTTTGCACTATAACAACGGTTCAAAAATTCTCCGTTTTGGGAATAAAGGAAATGATGAAATGCCTTCAAACCGGAGGAACAGGCAAAGAACGAGCTGGTGTGATGATCCCAATACCACAGTATCCTCTTTACTCTGCAACCATCTCAGAACTTGGAGCTCATCAGGTGAGAGCCAGTGTGTAAACATACTATCTTTATGTTGCAATTAATACTTCATTGCTACACCTCCAGTCTCTCTATATAGTGTCCCAAATAATAAATAATTACTGCTAAATCAAAGCTGTTCAAACTCATTATATTGTAATACACATCTATATCATCATGATATATTTCATTGTAGATCAGTTATTATTTGGATGAAGACAATGGCTGGGCATTGGATATCAAAGAATTGAAAAGATCACTTGAAGAGTCAAGAGGCCATTGTGTGCCAAAACTACTGTGTGTTATCAACCCTGGCAATCCCACAGGTATGCTCCAGGTGGTTGTACTGATTTAATTGTTTATATTTGTTTAAGAAGCTTCTTTCTCGATTCATTCTGCTCATTTCAGGCCAAGTTCTTAGTTATGATAACATAAAAGCAATCATCCAGTTCTGTAAGGAGGAAGGACTCTTCTTATTTGCCGACGAAGTTTACCAGGACAACATCTATGCACAAGGAGCAGAGTTCCATTCTTTCAAGAAAGTGTTGCGGGATTTGGGTGAAGATTACAATGATTTTCAACTGGCATCATTCCATTCTTGTTCCAAAGGATACATGGGAGAGTATGTTTTGTGTCATACTGAAACATATGTTACACAGTCACTTGTGGTTTAAACTTACAGTGAATCTGTTGTTGTTTAGATGTGGTATCCGTGGCGGCTATGTGGAAGTTCTTGGATTGGATAAGGATGTGAAGTACCAGATAACGAAGCTTGCATCAGCGAGGTTGTGTTCAACATCTTTGGGCCAGGTATATATCTTGTTTGATTTCTGGGTCTTACCTTTTGTTTTATTACATCACATACAAAAGCCATGATTTCAAGAATCTGATTCTGATCAAGATTTCTACCTTTAGATTGTGATGGATTGTGTTGCCAATCCTCCGAAAGAAGGCGATGAGTCCTATCCATTGTTCATTAAGGTTTGTTCATGCAAGTACTAAAATGTCTCCAGCAATAGTTGACAACATCAACGGCCTTGTTTATAAATAAGGTTACCTGTGATTTACCTGTCCTTCTGGATTTAGGAAAAGAACAATGTACTTGGTGCCTTGAAAGAACGTGCTAGGATGGTTGCAGAGATGTTTGACTCAATTGATGGTATCAAGTGTAATGAAGTTATGGGGGCAATGTATGCCTTCCCTCAAATCAATATACCAAAGAAAGCAATCGAGAAAGCAAAGGTAATTCCACTTGGTTCATGTGAAATATTAGTGCTTAATTTATAAACATTCTTCTATATGCATATAATTTCCCTAAATCATTTAGGGCCTTGGGCAAGAACCAGATTTTCTTTATTGTATGGAATTGTTGGAAGAAACTGGAATTTGTGTTGTTCCTGGCAGTGGTTTTGGTCAGAGAGAAGGAACACACCACTTTAGGTAATTCTTAATTTCTCAAGAATCACCCTGTCCTTTTCTCAGCGGGCTTGAAGTGTTCGCAATTAATTTAGTTGCTCACCATTTTCTTCCAGGATGACAATTCTGCCACCAACTGACAAACTGAAACTTCTTCTGGGTCAATTCAAGGAGTTCCATGAAAGATTCCAAGAAAAATACAAAGATTAAAAAGTATAATAGGATTAAAAATAAATTATCATCAACAGTTTTTTAATTTTATAGATAAACTGTAATTATATTTTGCTAATTTAGGTATAATTTAATTATACCTTTGCTTGGTATAATTTATTGATTATAATTAGTGGTGTCTGTTAACAATTGGTATTACTAAATGAACCCTAAGCTTTAGCAAATATTATTACACGACAAATGTACAAGATTGTATACAAAAATAAAGGGATAACTATAATATTGTACTATTTCAGATAATAAATATTTCTAAGAAGAATACAAATACAAAAAATGGAGTACATGTGTGGAAGTTGCTGAAGTCTTCATTCATAAGACAGCTGTTTGACCAACATAATTCATGTCTTGGAAGTTTTTCTTTTGAATGAACACCACTAGACATTTGCCAATAAACCTTTCACACAACTGAAACCTTGTGATAGCATTGATATGTAGCAGGCCTGCAGGCTTTAGATAAGTGTTGCTCTTCTACCAAACACTATCTTATTCACGGATGAGGGAGGTCAAATTCAATCGCTACGGTGAACATGGTTAATTTGCTCAATAGAAAAACCTTCCACCATCCTTCCATGCTAACTAGCCAATTGTAAGTGCAATTTTACCTCCCAACAATTCCACACACAGACCAATTCACCTTTTATCATAATCCTGGCAAGCACTTGATTTTGTTCTGTGAGACAAATCTCTCATTGATATCAGAGAGAATAAGAGAATAGACCACAACCTTGTCTTCAGGTATTGGTGGAAGTTGATAGACTTTATTTTTTGCCAGTTTAGATTTACCAAGCTTACCTGATCCTTGGGAGTCTAGAGGCTAAAAAATGAGGTAAAATGTTGAAGACAATAGCATATGTTGTAGTTAATTGTTACGACATGCAAGAACATTATAGAACATATGATGTACATGGTATATATGATGAGAGATATTGCAGATACAAATGCATACTTTACCAGCATATTAGCAAGGTACTTACATCCTCATTATCATCTGATAAATCTGCCGTGAAATTTTGATCATCTTTTGGTTTGTTTTTTGACCCCTTTGGTCTTCCTCGTTTTCTCTTTACAGGACCAGGCTGTGACTAAAATGATGTATGTGTTAATTAATAGTATAGAAAGACAAACTCCTAGGCCATATATGGCATTTGTGAAAGGTATTTTTATTGTATAAGGCATATAGTTATTTTAAATGGCCTTACTTCCACACTATCTAATCTTTCAAATCCAACTGTTCCATTTATCAAAATGTCATCATCATCATCACCATAGACGTCTTCATCCATCAACTTCATTTTCTTGGAAATTGTCTTAAGTTGTGCATTACCATTTCCAACTGATATCCGCGTGTAATCATCTCTGTATTCATAATCAGGAATCTCTCTCTTGGGTCTCTCGGGCCTTAGTCGTGTAACTGATGTATGGGGTTTTTTCACTACGATTGGGATGAAAATGAATGCGAATGCCTTCACTACAGGCCACTATATAAACCGTTGTAAATCTATTCTCATACGTACCAACTGTATCTTTTGACGTTGAGGATTTCTTGGCAATGAAAATATGACCGCACGGACAGGATTTGCAAGCAACGGGAAGCTATAGAATTTAATCATTGATAACCATTAATTATATATTACACGCATAAATCGGCTTTTAAAAGAAAAAGTACTATCATATTTAGTATTCAATATCAAATTTACTTAATTTATACGTTTTCTCAATTGTATATTTAATATAAACATTTAGTTTTTGTTTTAAAAGTAGCATCCGCTAAGGAGAATAAATTTACAGAAATTCTAGTAAATGGAGAAGTAACATATTTTAATACTTTCTGTGTATTTGATACGGGGCTGATATGGTCATAGAGGATGTAAATACGGAGCGATCGTTTGATCAATTTTGATAAATATACACTATTAGCATAGCAATGAAGAATAGTATAGTAATAAAGGCAAGAATATGACTTACTGTTTGCTGGCACTTCGGGCATTTCTTCTTTGCCATTTTAAAAAAATTTAAATGCCAAAATTAGCTGCATATAAACATACTTTCAAACAAATCAAAACATGTGTAAAAGATTGCGACTTTTGATGTATGTAATCCGACGCTTTTCCGGGAACTTCCGACCACAAGAACACGCCTATCGAGTTAGAAAAATGATCATTTCGACAAAAAAAAACACTCTATTTTTTTAGTTTATTAGTCATCCTGGGAGCTATCAGAGATACTGTGTTCTCGTTAAATAAATATAAAAACTTGCAGTTTGCGAATGAAAAATCTTCTATAAACCAGACCTTCGTTCAAGCGATGGAATAATATAGTAAAATAGCTCGAGTCGCTTGGATTATTTCAAGATGGCGGTTGCCAGGAGTGGGGAGATAAAACGATTATTAGTGGTTGGTTTAGCATGTTTAGATATCATCAATACAGTTGAGCATTATCCTCAAGAAGACGAGGATATGCGGGCTTTGTCACAACGTTGGCAGAAAGGCGGAAATGCTGCAAATGCGAGTGAAGTATTATCACAAACTCTAGACACTTGTTGTGAACTTTTATGCTCTCTCAACGAAGGAATTGAAGGACAATACGTGAGCGAAGAGCTCAGAAATCGAGGTGTTTTAATAGAAAATTGTCCGGTTAAAAAAAACTGCGGCTTTCCGACTTCCTGTGTGTTGGTAAACGAAGTTACTGGCTCCAGAACTATAGTACACTCTCGTAACAATCTTCCTGAATTAGAATTCAAAGACTTTGACATAATTGATCTTAGCTTATACTCCTGGATTCATTTTGAAGGAAGAAGAAATGTTGATGAGATTATTAAGATGATAAGAAAGGTGGAGAACTTGAAGAAAGAAGAAAATCTGCGGATTAAGATTTCGGTGGAAATTGAGAAAAAACGACCGGAACTACGAGCCCTATTTGATCAAGCAGATGTAGTATTCATCGGCAAAGATTTCGCCCAATTCTCAGGATTTAGTACTCCCGAGGAAGCAGTGATGGGGTTATCTACACAAGTACCTACTAACTCGGTTCTCGTGTGCCCCTGGGGGGAGAGTGGTGCAGTGGCAAGGGGGTGTGCAGGGGAGATTTGCACATCCCCCGCCTACCCACCAACGAAAGTGGTCGATACACTTGGGGCAGGAGATACGTTTCTCGCTGGAGTTATATTTTGTCTGAACCAAGGCAGGATGATCAACGATGCCATTCAGTTTGGTTGTAAATTAGCAGGAAGAAAATGTGGTATGCAGGGATTTGATGAGCTGAAAGTAACTCCAAATGACGATCAGTTCTAAGGATTGATGGAAATGTCCTTGTTAACCTTAATCTTAATCTGCTTTGTCATCACTGAAGCGGCCGACGTGCTTCAATAAACAATGAGTATTACTCCTAGAAACTTTGCACTAATTTCAGTGATTTGTACGTAATGATCAATAAAATTGTAACAACCTTTTGCAGCTCGTTTTTTGTATCAAATACACACCTTGTTTAAAGACGCTTAATTTACAAGGCGAAATCGAAATTGGGAATTGAAGTCTTAAATGCAAATCATTTGACCGCATCTGTAAACACAACATAAAATCACCTCCCTTTATCACGAGAGAAACCGCAGTTTTGGAAACGCTTTTTCACGCCAGACGAACGTAGAAAACCGTACGAAACATCCCTGAAACAAACAATCTCTGAAACAAATGGCACTCGAAAAAAACACTATTTCGCTCTCGAGTTCATCCGGTCTCAGAATTAAAGATCTTGTGCGCTACGGAAGAAAAATGCCGTCTCCATGGTAATATTGATATAAACACGCTGACGATGCACCTGTCCGGGGAACGCAGGTTTTCTATTGGCTCATTTGGCTGTGGGAACAAACAACCTGCTCTAATTAGGCGGCATGAAAATGTAAATAACGTAAATATTCGGTTCGTGTATTCGTGTTGAGCATGGCTGACAGCGATATTCATGAAGAGGAAAGTGGGCCAAGACGCCGTTACAAGGCTCCGTGGTCGCCGGATGGCCCGGAGTATGATCCGTTGCTTCCATACGGACCCAAAGTTTACCTTGCAAGGAAGAAAAAAGCCGATTCTTGGTGGATAGTGGCGCTCGAGGTACACCCGACATTTGACTGAGTTGTATAAACTTATTCTCTAGCACTGAGCAAAACCTCTAGGCAACAGACTATACCCGGGAAACATCGTCGCAGACTGTTGAAGATTTCATCATTTCATCATCAATTTTCCTGTTCGGCTTTATGTAGACCGTGACAAAAACTGACAAGAAACAGATCAAAGCATTCTTCCTTTTTCGCTCCGGAAAATCAACAAGACGATTTCCAGCAATTTGAAGGCCAAATGAAACATCGCTTTAACCAAATGGTTACACTACATTTGACATGTCTTTTCGTAAGATAAGGAAAGTTTCTCCCGGTTTGAAAACAGTCTAACCCGGTTGCTGCGGTTTTATCAAGCTCGCGCAGACATAATTGATGTGTGGTTAGGGGCCAGTTGTATCAGTAAAACTCTTTAACTAAATTTTGCATAGTTAAGTTCTAGTTAACTCAGAAATACACAACTCTGATTGCCAGGCAATTCTGTTAAAAGTTAACTAGTCTTTTATTATACAACTGGTCCCAGGTTATAACTTCCGGAAAAGTAAAATACAATATTTTCATCTAAATCGTGGGCATTTAAGGAGTGACCTAAAACCTTTGCAAGATGAAAACTAGCCTTTAAACCGATAATCTGTTATACGGATTAAGTTTTACGGACGGATTGATTCATCTCTAGTATCGATTCAAACCTGAGTTTTTTTTTCATATAGGTACTCGTCGTTGTATCAGTGATACTATTTTTCATCTATATGTATTATTATATCGACCATCTCCACTTTCACGTGACGCATGCGTACGCGAGATTTGGCAGTGGTACAGCACAGCATCACGTCGCTCATAAATACTTACGAGGTAGGAATATAGTTTACCTCTTATTCAGTGATCTGGTAATGCACCTAATGTAGGAACTATATCTGATGCAAGTCCTGCCATTGCCATTCAGTATATCATCAGATCTGTGCTTACATATCTTATGCATATTATGTAAACGAATAGTTTACCTCATATGAAAAACATATTCTCATGTAGAATAGATATCCTTGATTGTTTCTAAAAAAAATACAAGAAAAAGCGTGAATGAATAGGTATTAATAAGATGGTGTATTGTAATAAGGTTCCTTACCGGGGCGATGCAACAGACCTTCAGTTTCAAATGAAGTTATAAACATTAGAATGTTTTGAATTTTTACTAGGTCATGGTACGGATCAAGATCACGAACAAGCGATGTACTGGTTCAGGTAAAGTAAGCTCTATTATCCTGGCCGTTCTACGCCCGGGTCAGACAAGATCAGAGTGAGGTCTTACCCAGTCAATTGTGTTAAATTACCACTTTTGCGTACCTGTCCGTTTTCTTCAATTTTTATAAAGTTGGGTGGTTGGTTCAGGTTTTGGCTAGAATTCAACCAAGTTCGGTGAATCAATGAGTTTCTTCTCTTTATTTTTAGACGAGCTGCGAACAATGGCCACCCTGGCGGAGCATATAACCTGGTGGCAGCTCATTTCCAGGGATACAAAACAGATTTAGAGGAACAGTGAGTACTTGATCATTAGCCGGTATAGCAATGAGGAGAAGAAAGGTAGAAAATATCAGAATTCAGAAGAAGAGGATAAGTGAAGAAGGGGGGGAAATGGAGAACCGTTTCAAATTTACCCATCAAATGCCATTAGCTTTTCACAGCAAACTTTAGGAGTTGAAGAGAAGAGTTTTAGAGTAAGAGTTATTCAAGTTTAAATCTAGTTGTAAGCTCCAGGATAGTCCAGGAAGAACAGATTAGAACTGTCACTGAATGACCCATTGCCAGAGATGATTGGAGAGATGGTTTATATCGTTGTGATAACTGATAACATTTTCCACCTCAGCGAGATTGAAAACATGTTGAAAGTTGCAGCAGACGGGGGGCATGAAGAGGCGAAAAAAGCTTTGCGAGAAATGTACCCAGAAAGTTACTAATACTTGATGTAATGTGAACATTTAAAGCCTACTTCAATATAGTAGCATAAATTATATACATTGCCATTGGATAAATCTAAATACACTGAGACGGTTGTTTTAAGGTCGCTTAGCTTACGGTGGATAAAACTTGGTGGTTCGATGAATGAAAAAACTTTTTTGATGTCTTTAATTATTCTACTGTTTAGCGTGTTTACGGCTTTTGAACAACCGATTTCAGCTGACTTGGAAAACATTTTTAATATCTATATTATATATCTATACCACGTAAGAAACGAGCTCAATCTGGACTATTTCACATCTACCATAAGTAGGGGTCAGCAAAAACGAGTTTTCCCACCGGCAGTTTATGAAACCGTTCTATTATATGGGTAAGGTTAGACTGAACCTAGAGTTAACCTTGGTCAAATTTGCAAACACGACCGTTAAACGACGATATTCGCTTTGTTTTCTGCAGTAATTTTTGCAAAATAATTTAATGCTTTTAAAAGAATTACATTGTTCTATACATGCTATACATGAATAGCCTCGTACGATATAGTAAAATACTGTAAAGTTGTAAAGATTTTTATTAAATGCTTTTTAAGAGTCATTGTGCTCACTTGTGCTTCGAGATATGACATCCCGTTATTACGTCATTGGATTTTAATAAGTGCGAAGTTTGAACTCAGCAATATCGAAGAGGCTGCTTAAGTGGCCCAAGAAACAGACAGATTCGACAAATGACACATGCAAATTAAACGTGAAGCGATGAGACAAAATGTCACTGTGATATGTGCCGCTTTCTCGCATGATGATAACCAAACGTTTTCCCCAAATCACTGGTAACATCACACAAAATATACAATTCACAGGCGTTGTCGAGTTACCACTGCATATTTTGACTATGGTGCCGCGATCGGGTCGATTTCGTGAGCCGGGTGGGAAAATTCTGGTTATCCTCTTCAGATTGCTCTGGTTATTCTCAGCTAGCGCATTTGGGAGGATTCCAGAAAAATTGCCAAGTGATTAGTATCTTAACTAGAATTAAGCACTCGCTTAAGCACTAGCGTTCCGCGTTCTTCGTGACAGCTTAGCCTTTGGGAAAGAGGCGGGCTCTCACAGCAAAAAGACCTTAACCTCAGCGTCCAAAATGATGGATTTGCCAGAATACAGTATTTTGAGCAAGTATGTTTACTGTTGTAAGACGTCTGTCCTTCCTAGCTACTTGTAAAGCCAAACACTCAACTTTGCAGGTCTGAATAAGCAATGACTGGTCATCTCTTGGACGCCCAAAGTTCGAGGTTTGTTTTGAAAGGTCAAGCTCTTGTGTCTTGAGTAGACAGACTGCATACTCGTGGCGCAAATAGAGTATAAGGGCCGGTTCTCACATGGCCCTGTGAAAAGCACATTGCACGGAAATATCTGAGAGATGAAACATTCACAAAACTTCAACAGATAAAGCCTTACTTGTAACGGACTCGTTACGATCACAAGATAACGTGATACTTGCCACTCAGAGGTGATGCTCATCCACAAGCCCTAACCCCCATTCTTCCCCCTCTCGGTATATCGCATTATCCTGGTTTTTTTTATTGCCCTGCATGGATACGTTCAAACAAGAGTGTTCTCGTGACTGGTACAGCGCCAACACAACATAAGCTGACATGGAGTATAAAGTGGAGTGCAATCTTTGGCTTGGAATCTTCGGCCGGGGGAATATGCGTGGTTAAAGTTGGGCTGTTATTGTTGGGCTATAAGGTTGGGGGATATTTTACGCAAATGCAAACGAATCGATAAAAAAACTCTACAACTTTAGCTTATACCTTTTTTCTCACAAAATTAACGGATATTTGTATAGCCATGACTGTCTTTGTTTTGTATTTTATATTCATCATAATTTTCACGCAACAACGATCCGGGTTGTAGTAATTATCATTCAGTACAAACATGTCAACATCTACGACAGTATAGGCGCGCCTGCACAGTTGAACGAGAGAAAATATTAGTGATCCTTGTTGTTTTAACCCTAAGAATGGCTGATGAAAAATCACCACTTTTGTCCTCGGGTAGTAATAAGCCAGTTGAAGTAGGATTTGAGCCAAATGAGGGTAATTCTTCTGCCTCAAGGTAAGTGAAGTATAACGGGATGTGTATAACAACAATACAGTCTCTGAATAACTGTATTACAGTATTCATTGGGGTACCTTTTAGCATTAAATTGAGATACACATTTAGTGTTTATACATGGGACATCGACACATGCAGGGTTATTGCAATTTTTTGTAGTGGAACAATGAGTTTTTAATAGACACTAAAGCTTCATAAAGATCACGTGCATTGATTTTCCGGCACTTTCATCTAAACGAAATGATGTGTATGTAAATAGTCGTCAAACGAGATTAGTGTTTATAGAATTATAGAAGCTCTAATATCGGAAAGTGTTGAAGGTGTAAACGTAAGTGTGACTCATAATTCTCCCACCTTTACTAAAAATTGAGGCTATGATCACGTAAATTTTAGCAATTCCCATTACCGCTAAAACCTATCAACCTCCACTGTGTGATTACGTAACGTAGCTTCATACAATATAGCAGGAGGTCGCAATAAGGCTTTAAACAAAGTGCATTTTGCTTTAAGAAAGCAGGGGGGGGGTACAGGGTGTGTGCGGATTCATAGTGAGTGGGTCAGTGTTGTAACACGCAAGCCTTTTTTTAAAATGGCCGGTTGATAGATACAGATTTTTAAAAATTTGTAAACAATTTCACTTCAGGTCCACCTCGGTAGAATGCAATGGCAATGTAGTCTGAATGTGTCAAATGCGCCTAAAATGCATGTGACTCACTGCAGTTGACGCATTTCTAAAATTAAACTGGTCAATTTCACAGTAAGCACTTTACGAACCCATACGAACCCTAAAATCTAACGTCGATCATTGTTAAATTTGTTTCTAGTGAAAAGAAAACCACCCCGAGAGTCCCCTTTCGGTCTCTGGTAGGTAAAAACTTAGTTGATATGTCATGATATAAGATACCAGCGATTCTGACTATTGCAGCGCGGAGCCGGATACATTAATTTCATCAGAGACAAATGGAAATGATGTAAACATTGAAATTTGAAATTGAAAACAATAAATACACCACAAACGTTTATAGGAACAACGCGATTATACTAACTAAATCATAATATTCTAGACCTGCATTATTATGAGATCTTTATAATTCGCATGTCAAGTGACCAATAAATCCTATTGACCTTATAATAAAATGAGGTGGAGTTTTTCCAGCTTGTCTTTGTTCAGATCTCCTCCAAGCGCTCCTAAATTGCTCCTCGACCGTTTTCTTTGATGACTGAACACACGGCCCCTCCCTGATTTAGCAATTTGTTTAAAAAAGCGACGTTTTCTAAAGGACAGGGATAAAAAAGGAGGTAATTTTCGTTGTTATGCAAAATTTCACGTCTGCATGTATCACGTTCTTGTGAAGCAAACTAGTCATGCATTCTAGCAAAATGTACGTCAGCTATCTATTCCGTAAGCGTAGATTCCTCTGATCTGTGCTCTGATACAGTATTTTCAAGATGGAGGAAAGAAGATTAGATATGATATGCATGGAATGTAAGATTGGCGTTCCAGATAGTGAACATCCTAAGAAAATTAACACTGGACTTTGACATTTTCAACAAGAATCTTTGTGTGGATATTTTTAATCAACCCCAGATTTCAAAGGATGCACTCCAAAGGCTGTTCCACATCAAAGACGTTCCTCGACCTCGTTCGACACTTTACCCCAACTGAAGTTGAATTTCCATGCGTTTGTCAAATCGTTTCAGATGCAAAATATTTGACAAAACTACGCGTTTGACTTCGCTTTGAATATTAAAGACTAGAGTACTTCCTTCCATTTTTTTAGCAAAATACGTTTATTTAATAGCAAAAAAAAACCCGTTGCAAGAGAGCCTTTAAAATAGAGTACGTCTTTCTCTTTTTTAGTTTAGATTTGCTGACACTACGGACAAGATGTTATTGGTGTTAGCAGTAATAGGCAGTTTCCTGTACGGCGTGGTATCACCAGCTCAGTTCATTGTATTCGGTTCGTTGACCGATGACTTTGTGGATCATACACTATGGTCTTTCAACGTGAGCGGTTACAATACAGAGGAGCCCGATCTTGAGGAATCTATGACCACCATAGCATACTGGTACATTGGAATAGCCATAGGAAATTTTGCTTTTGCCTGGATGGGGCTTGGTCTGTTCGGCGTGGTCTCGCAACGACAGGCGTATAAAATGAGGCTAGCGATGTTTCGAAATGTCATATATCAGGATATCGCTTGGTTCGATACACATTCAAGTGGCGAGCTTAATGTCAACCTTTCAGAGTATGTTTTTTTGTCTTTTTTTGTCACAATATTGACCATCTGTTTCTTTCAGTGTCTTGGAAAGTACTTAATAGGAAACACTGTGAAATTGCTGGGACACGAGTGTGCACGTAACTGGAACTCGTTTGAGTAGAACACCAGCTCGCGTTCGCGGATACACTTCATGGGAATGCCGGCTTGAGACGAAGATCAGAAGGAATTGTCCTGAACTTTCCCCTATACTTGCACCTAGGGGTGTATTAGGAGAGGGTAGAGGCTCCGGGTTTAGATCACCCCAGCTTGAATTTGAATTATTTTTCATTTATTTTATTTATTTTGCAGTGAAATCGACAAGGTTGCTGACGGTATAGGTTACAAACTGGGCAACATGGTGCAGAGTCTTGTATCATTCTTCGCTGGTTATATCATTGCCTTCGTTTATTGTTGGCGACTGTCGTTGGTATTGGCAGCGATGTTCCCCGTGATGCTCGTCCTTGGTTCGTCCATGTCAAAAGTAGGTTTAACCGCACCCCCTCCCCCCTGAACTGCTCGGCGCATTACAGTTTACGTTCGGTCAGTTGTCGATCACGAGGTTTGCTGCTGATTGCAAACACATATTTCTATTCAGATAAGTGCTAAGTACACAGCATTGGAGCTTGCCGCGTATGGAAAAGCTGGTCACGTTGCTGAACAAAGTATTTCGTCCATCAGAACTGTTGCAGCCTTTGGTGGAGAGCACAAGCAATCAGAATTGTAAGATCGTCCTTTTCATTTGTAAAAGTGCATCTAAGACACCCTTTTAGCTCCACATTTCACGGAGAACCTGGTTAGTTTAGACGTTTCTTGACTGGTTTTTTACCCAGGTATAACGAGCATCTCGGAGACGCGTGCAAGTTTGCCATAAAAAGAGGATTTTCTCTTGGGATTTTCATTGCGACATTTTTCTTCTGCATATATCTCAATTATGGGATCGCTATCTGGTGAGATTGCATCCATTGAAAATGTGGAAGGAGGTGGGGGTAATGTGGGTAGGGTAAGGTGGCTGCTGGGTGGTGGGAACAGATCAGTATCTCAAGGATAGGGTGATGTTTTCGCTCATTAGCATGACATCCTGAACGCAGGGATAGCGTTTAATTTTCATTCCATCTTTAATACCTAAGGTATTTAATACATCTGGTCAAAGATGGAGATGCGTCGCCTGGAGATGGTTTGACGGTAAGTTCTTGGCTGAAAGTTCACTTAGCTCATGTTCTG